AGGAAAAATATGTCATATTTTTATAATTAACTAATTTATCTAACTTTCTTAATCTAATCAAATTAGTTAAATAGGTTTTATATTAAGATCGGAGGAGTATTTTCTTTATTGATCTACATGACAAAAGGAAAAATCATAAAAAAGATCTTTAAAATTAAAAAAATTGCATACAGGAAGCTATTCACAACAATTGTTGTCATTTGCTCATTAATTATTATCAAAACCTATACTAATATTGTAATAAGTCTTTATTTACAATTTTTTTTATTTCAAAGATTTTTTTTTTTTACAATTTTTCCTTATAAAAACCTTGAGAGAGTTTTTATTAGCCACACAACACTCCTATTTTATTCGGGTTTGTAACCTATTAACTAAAAATCATATTTTTCCATTTTCTTTCAATATATAAAGTATGGTAATGGCAGTTGGATTAAGTAAACAAATCTGTGCGCTTAAACATGGCGATGAAAAAAAAGTTTATATTAGAAAAATTAATCTACTAAGTCTGAGTCTGATAAGACTGAAATTTAACCAGACGATAACTTTTTTTTTTTTTTTAAAAAGAAGAAGTAATCTCACCAAGTCAAAACAAAAATAGCCTTGACTTTTTACGGAGTTTTTTTTTTTTTGACTAAAAGGGAATTTCTCATTCGCTAATTACAAATCGATCGCGCCCTTCGTTTTCTCACCAACCCGAACAACAACTTTCTGTTGCTTTCTTTTCTTGGCAGTTCAAATCTGCATTAGTGGGCAGGGATCATCCAATCAAAAGCTTACCCACCAACTAAGATACGCGGTGATTTCCCAATGCTTCCATCACAAACATACCTCGTCAACATTCTCCATATCTCCATTTTCAAATCCATGTCTCTCTGCCTCTGAAGTCCTCTCCTTCCTCTTTCATGGCGGCTACAACCTCCGCACAGTTCCTATCACATTCCTCACCTTCTTCTTCTCCCCTCAATCCCCGTTCTGATTTAACCAATTTCCGAAATACTCAGTTACGATTCACATCTAGAGTCTCGGGAAAGCCCTTCTCCGTAAGATATATCAGGAGAAACAGAGGAGCAGGGACAGAGCGTGGTGAGGGTACGGCAAGGACGAAATGGGCAGCGCCGGCGAGGTGCACGGCGGAGGGTGTAGAAGGAGGAATGGTGAGAAGAGAAGGAGGAGGAGTGCGGACGATGCCGGAGAGGTACAAAGTGGCGTGTTTGGTGGCGTGCGTAATGTGTCTGTGCAATGCAGACAGGGTCGTCATGTCTGTGGCCGTCGTACCACTCGCTGCCCAACATGGATGGTCCAGTTCTTTCCTTGGCGTCGTTCAAGTATGAAGCTATTGTGACCCCTCTCTCTCTGTACTTTTCTTTTCTGTACGTCTTGTTTTGATTTCTTCTGTTTGGTTTTTGCTCATCAAGAATAAACGTGCTGGGGTTATGAAGTTATGGACAAATCTCACAACAAAAAGTAATAAAAAAGATTAAAATCTGTGGGTAGTATAACTTTACAAGATGACCGAGATTCACATTACTTTTTTCTCTCTTCTTTAATATAAACTAATTAAACTATTTAAATAATTTAAAAAATAGTTAAGTTAATTATTTATAATAAATATATATTGTTTTTTTTAATTTTTATTAATTAAGTGTATTGGCTAAAACGAAAATTATTATAAAAAATTAGTAGAAAAATAAATTATAAGAAACGAAATTGATTAAAATTTATATAAAATAAATAAATCAAATATATTATATTAAACATTTCCCAAGACAAAGGTCTCAATATCAGGTCTTTTCTCTTGGTCAAAAGAATAAAAGTCAGATCTCTTGACAAAGATCATAACACGTGGAATGACTTTGCGGCAAAACCGCCTTAACTTCAAGCTACGTTTTATTTCCGCAATAATTGTTAATATTTTATAATCTCTAAAAAATTAAAGATGAAAATAATTTTAATTTTAGTTTCTTTCTATATCCCACACATGCTTCATCAAGTACCCAAAAAATGTGTCTTTTTTTTTCGTGTCTCTGATTAAGGCACCTAACTTGAACTAAAATGCAAAGTAATATTTCCTCCATGCTCCATTGTTGCTGCATTCCTTAGAAATAACTTTGTCATTTTAACAAAGCAATATTGAGCTTAATTAGTGGCTAACACTGAAACCCCAAAAAACAAATGAATGTATCAGTCATCATTCCTGTGGGGATACATATTCTCGTCAGTGATTGGAGGAGCTTTGGTAGACAGATATGGAGGAAAGAAAGTGATGGGTTGGGGAGTGGTTTTGTGGTCTTTGGCCACTCTCATTACTCCTTGGGCTGCCAACCGCTCTACGTTCGCCTTGTTAATGGCTCGAGCTTTCTTTGGACTCGCTGAAGGAGTGGCTCTTCCCTCCATGACCACTCTCTTATCAAGGTGATGCCTCCTTCATCCTCTTCTTCCTCATTCTACTCTGACTTGAAAACCACACATTGCTTCATCACACAAATTTTGGTTATAATTTCTCTATGATAAATAAGAAGAGTGTTTGTGAAGGTGAGCTTTGGAATAACGGTAAGAGACCTGGAGGTCATAGGTTCAAATCTTGAAAACAGCCTCTCTGCTTGCAGAGATAAGGCTGCGTACATTTATCCCTTTCCAGACCCCACCTGATGGGAGCCTTTTGCATGGGGCTGCGCTTTATATAAGAGTGTTTGTGCACTTGTTTTTCAAGCCTCAGCTTTCTTACAAATTGAAAGATGACTTAATCTTCAAATGTGAATAGGTGGTTTCCAAGTCATGAAAGGGCAAGTGCAGTGGGCATTTCAATGGCTGGATTTCATCTTGGAAATGTCATAGGCTTGTTGCTCACTCCAATTATGTTATCATCCATTGGGATTTCTGGTCCTTTTCTTTTGTTCTCATCTATTGGCTTTCTCTGGGTGTTAACATGGGCATACCAAGTCTCTAATGATCCTCAAGACAGTCATTTCATCAGTAGATCAGAGCTAAGACTAATTCAAGCTGGACAAACCACTTATTCTTCCAAACAAACAACCAACTTCCCTCCCTTGCGCCTTTTGCTATCTAAATTACCATCTTGGGCTATCATTTTTGCCAATGCAACGAACAACTGGGTGAGTTCTATTTCTTTTCCTTAAGGTAAACGAAAATAATTATGCGTTCTCATGAATCCATTATAGTTTGGCATTACTAATGTTGGCCAGGTTACTTGCAGGGATACTTTGTTCTCCTCTCATGGATGCCAGTTTATTTCAAAAGCGTAATTATCTCCTCAATCTTTTGTCATTAGCTCTTTTTTATTTTATTTAATTTTCAAATGTATTCAGCATCACTTACTAAAGATACGTGGTTAATCTGTTTCTACATATAGGTATATCATGTAAACTTGAAGCAGGCAGCCTGGTTTAGTGCGGTTCCATGGGCAACAATGGCGATTTCAGGTTATATAGCTGGTGCAACATCAGACTCCTTAATCAAGGAAGGGTACCCTCTAACATTTGTCCGAAAGTTCATGCAGGTAATTCTTCAGCAGCTTCACGCTAAAGGACTTAAAATGTAGGTTTTACATGGAAACTGCAATAATCATTTTAGTTTTTCTGAAATGATCCTGAAATAATGATGTGCCATCAAGAGAAATCATGAAGAAACAACTTGGAATGTGAAATGACAGTGTTTCATTTTAAAGCAATTAGAGAACATGGAAGCACACAGAAATCATTTTGAGGGATATTGTGTGCTGATCTTTTCCATACTTGTAAATTACAGTCCATTGGATTCATTGGACCTGCTTTATCCTTGCTCTGCTTGAACTATGCCAATACACCAGCAACTGCTGCTGTTCTCATAACTGCAGCTTTGAGCTTGAGTTCTTTCAGTCAGGCGGGCTTTATGCTGAATATTCAAGTAAGTTCAAACATTGATTCTTGGGAAGAATTTATCATTCAAAGATAGCTAAACCAAGCCAACATGAATAGCTAAAAATAAAGAGATTCGTAGTTTTACAAAAATGTTTGCAGAAAAAGCAAATTGGATCTGCCATAATCATATAGCTATATATTTGAAGAGAAAAACAAAAAGAAAGTTAACTGTTGTATAGAATTAACTTTCTCTTTGCATCCATCCCCCCTATTATCTTTCTCTACATGTATTGAAAGTGATGACTTTTTGTAACTGTAGAAGATTCGATTAGCATAGAGAGGAAATGAATGAAAACGTTAAGGGTTGATCCTTCTTAAAAATGCGTCAAACGTATTGATATGCTTTTTTTGCGACTGACTTGACCTACTTATCTTTTGGATTCTGTCTGCCGAAGAATATTTAGATATCTACTTTTGATTCGTTTGGTTTATTGGTTTGATGTATGAAGATTCTTTCAAATGAACTTTCGGCTGACATATAGGAGTCCTAAAAACTCACACCTTGTATGTTATGCGTATCAGGACATAGCTCCTCAGTATGCTGGATTCCTACACGGTAAGTCAAGCAAAATGTTATGATTTTCCTTTCTGGTTTTTTCACCTCCCAACAATCTTTCTTTAGATGTTCATTTATCATCAATATCTTACGTAAAAAAAATATGTTATGAGAATATGTTTCCTCGTGTTTTCAATATCTCACTGCAGGAATATCAAACTCAGCTGGAACTCTAGCAGCTATCATAAGCACAATTGGGACTGGTTATTTTGTTGAATGGTTGGGATCTTTTCAAGCATTCTTAACCGTAACAGCAGCTCTCTATTTTGTGAGCACCATCTTTTGGAACCTATTTGCCACAGGCGAACGAGTTTTTTGACATAAAAAAGTAAGAAAAAAATAATAAAAAAAAACTGAAAATTATTAAATACTAAATAAGGAGTGTCAGCAAAAATTTATTATCATTTATAAATTCAGTATTGTCAATACTAAATAAATTGTTGTTACCAAATTTCATGTGAGATTTAGTAATTTTCAGTTTTTTTTTGGTTTGGTTTGTTTTCAAGAATTAAAGTGTACGAAGATTCGTCTGTAACCTTGGCATCTGAGAGCGGGCACACATTCTTATTTACTTAAAAGGTAGACGTGTCATTCTTTTGGCCAATGCAAATCCCACCAAGACTGAGATTTTTTGCCCCAAAGTAAATTTCTATGTGATATATGTTTCTGTTCGAATTATTTAGTTATCAATTGCATAGACCTCACCCTTCATATACTCAACGGGACATCTGGTGCACACTGAAGCAACTCAACCATTACTAGAAAACATAATAATTTCATGACCTAATAGCTAATAGCTTAGTGGCATAAAGAAGTGTTTAGATGGAAACTAAATCATAATTTTAAAAATGCTTTTACGATTTACGAAGTAAATATGTGAAGGAGTTTGTCTCGTTTTGAGAATAAGTACTTTTTAGGATTGCCAAACACGCTCTAAAAACTAGAAGATCACGGGTTTAATTTCATTTGGAACTTCTTCGGTATATACATACTATTTTTTTTTTTTAATTTTTGTGGATCCAAAAGATGTTCATCTTAAACTCAATATATCAAATTACTCTTGCACTATTTACTAATATTGTAATTTTTTTTAAAAATAAACTATATATTTACATAACAATATTTTTAAAAAATATAATTAGCATTCAATTTTAGGTGTGTCTCCAAATAGCCATATATTTACATGGTTTTTTAAAATTATTATATTTAACATTAAATCTGCAGAAAATAAAAGATAATTTTTACAATACTTACATCAAATTATTTATATATATTATGTCAAGTTTTCTAATTATATATGACCAAGTGTTTTATTTTTAAAATATTAGTATTTAATTATAAATTTATATAAAATAAAAAAAGACATGAAAATTTGTAATTTGAAAACTTGACGTAATCTTTACTTAAGTATTTTTTTTCTTTTTAAAAATGATATACTATCATTCTTTGTCTTGTGTTTTTACCAGACAACAAAGAGGTAAAAACTGGACAACGAGCATTCGAATTCCAGCTCAACAAAAGAAAAGGACAATTTATGCATTCATTTTAAATATTGTTGAGAAAGAAGATATTACTTTTGTTTTGTTGGTGTATGCGTGACTGCAGGCCACATATTCGACATTTGTATAGGAATTTATTTGAAATTACTTTTTTCTTGGCAAAAAGAAATCATATAATTAATTACTTGATACAAAATCATACAATGAATTTTAGATAAAAGTGCTGTGTCTTTAATTTTCTATAAACCTTAGTTCATATCCTTCATGTTTTTCCAATTCTTTAATCGTAATATTACAATGATGATTTTTTGTCCAGTCATTATTATTTTAAAAAAATTAGAGATAACATACCAATATCTGTAAATGTTTTATTAATATTTGAAATTTTAGTACTCCCTCTGTTCCTTATTATAAGAGACATTTAATACTTATAGCATGTTCCTATATATAAGAGACACTTAAAAGTTGTCTCTACTTTTTTATGTTGATTTCCTATTTTACCCATATTTATTTTGTCTCCAATTCACACTCTCTCTTCCTCCCACTTCTCTTTCTTTTAATAATTTAATTGTTCTCTCTCATGTTCTCTCTCTTTATTAATGAGGGCATTTTTAGGAAAAAAATTATACTATTTACACATTGATTGCTCTTAACTAATTTTAACTACTTTTTTATCAATGTAATTTGGTTATTCGTCTCTTATAATAAGGAACGGAGGGAGTATCATATTTCTTTTAAAAACTCGATGACACTTTAAAGGATATAATAAAAAAAATACAATTTATAAGTGCTCTTTTATCTTAATTTTCAATTATTTTACAAATTGAATGTTCACTTATCCCTAGAAGAAACGGAGGTTCAACTTCCAACCAGAGAGCGCTTGACGCTGAAGTCTGATCAGTAATTACTAGGCGAAGATCACAAGTCCGCGACTGATTCATCGATATCCAATTCGGAGTCCACAGTTGTGGTCCTCGTCAAGATTCTTCATTTTCATCGTCTTCCTACAACTGATTTCAAGAATACCAATAGTCTCTGTGAATTCAATCCCTTCAATTTCATGCCCACCTGAGTCTTTGAGCTTCATTTCTAATTGGGGTTTTGTTTTTCACTGTCAAATCGAAGACTTTTTGCTTATGAGACTCTGGAAGCCATGAATTTTAGAAGCTTGGAAGATTTCTGGGCTTTCTACATGAACCAACATTCAAAGCCATCCACAAGGCGTTGGCACTTTGTCGGCACACTCTTCAGTATCATCTTCTTTTTCTGCTCTCTCTTGTTTAGCTGGTGGTTCTTGGTTTTTTTTTGTACCTCTCTCCGGGTATGGATGTGCTTGGTACAGTCATTTCTTCGTCGAAGGGAATGTTCCGGCGACTTTTGGGCATCCGTTTTGGTCCCTCCTTTGCGATTTCAAGATGTTTGGTTTAATGCTTACCGGTGGAATGGAGAGAGAGATCAAAAGGCTGGGGAAAAGACCTGTTCTGCAAGTGTTCTGATTTCGATGTAAGCAACTTCAGGTCTTTTTAATTACATCTCGAGCGAAAATAGTCTTCTTCTTGATTTATATTGTTAAGAAACTAGGTGCCCTGTGCATTTTACAGAAATTGAGCAACGCTTTATATAAATTAGATATTTGATATTGATATGTAGTAGTAATTGTTGGCCATATACTTGATTATAGTGAGTTCGTTGGCCTCTATGTTATATCCTGTTGGGCTGGATGATTTTGTTACATTTTGATGCCTTAGAGAACCCATGGGCGTGTGCTATGCTGTAGGTCGATGGTTTGGATGATTTTGCTCGCACATTATAACTGAAAATTAATCCCACAGGCTAAAGAGAACTAAAGGAATCTGGTTGGCTGACCCCCAGAATTCAAAGACATGAATGTTGAAATCTTTTGATAATGTCAAGAGCTCAATTCTCAACCTGAAATGGACGATGTGCTGAAAAAACGTAGAGCAGACTCTTGACAATTACATATTTCAATCAATTTACGCTATAGAATTTTAGTCTGCCTTTCTTCAACATGTCAGGCGGTTTGACCTTGTTGGGATGCCTTTTACTTTTTGCATCTAAAACTTAATTTGTTTATGGAAAAACAGAGAAAGCTCGCTTTGAGCTTTGAGCTTCTTTGCTGAAGTTTTCATTTCCTTGGATCTTTTGTTTTTGTCTTGTTTTTCTGGTGCAGTTTCATGAAGGTGTTGAAAGATTAGAGTTAAAATTCGTCTATGACATAAATTGAAAATATAATGTCTATATTTCTAAACAAGCAGTAAAACTTCTAAGTTGGTTGTAATGTGACAATAGATGTAATATCCTCCACTATCAGCTTTCAGTCAATGGACCTTTTGAACGAGTGGGACGTTCATAGTTTTCATTATTAAATGGGACCAGCTTATTCAATTGAAGGTTCAGTAGATTTATATTACCTTTACTGTTGTTTCTTGTTTGACAGCAAAAACTTTCATTATCATCTTGGTTTGTTCCTATTTTTCATGCTTTCATTGGAATATAGTTCTTTTATAGTTTCCTGCCCGGAACTGAGTCTGTATGATAGTTCAGTATGTTTAGTGTGTCCACAGTCTATGTCAATAACCTATTATCCTGTATGCACCTGTGAAATACCAGTTATGCAAAAAGAAAGCTTTTAGTTAGACCTAGGGATGCAAATTCTTTGTCATTGTTTAATAGTGGATTTGATTTGATCCCCAGTCAGGGATTCCAATTAATATTTTACTGAGTTGTTAGAATTTGGACGTTAGCTGTCCATATCCCAGACAACCATTTACTTAATTTGTCTGAATACTTTGTGTTGATCTTCTAAAGTTCATATGTATATAGGAGTACTTACCTTGTTTTTCATCTCTGTCTAATTGAAGTAACTGAAAATAATTGAGTTCAAGAACATTTCTGAGTGTTGTCTTTTTGGGTTCTCCACCGCCTAATCTAAGTCAGAAGTGAACTCCACTGTAAAGTCAACCTGGCATGTTTGCAGTTCTATTCATAATTGGTTATATATATATTTATCATTTTTAAACTCGCAAGTGTTTGTTACCTTATTTTGTTGTCATGGGCATGGTGTTCACAGGTATATGAATTCATGACTTGAGATGTCAAGACCAATACCAGTATGAGAAAGATGGATGTACACATGCATATGTTTGGCCACCAGTCTTTGACTGGGATGGCTGTGTTGTTCAAATTCAAAATCATGCTATGAATGTCAAGTCTACTAGACAGCGATCTAGTTGACTTCACATATCTGGGAGACTAATTATTTTTTAGTGATATCATGGTATTCTATGGTTTTTATGTCCATTGAAACATTAGTTGCTACTTGTTAGCATGGGTGAGTCTCTATTCAATAAGTTCTTGTATCTGTAATGATCTTAGATTCTCAGCAAAACTTGTCCGGAGGCTGTATTCTGGGAAATAAGATATTTTTGGACTTGTATCAAAACAAAGATATTAGAGTGCACGTAGAATTTCATGGTCTTTGTTCCCTCGAAATTACTATAGAACATTTAACAAGCATGCCATGATTATAAGAAGTAGGGTTTATCGTGTTTATTCTGCCTGCTTTATAAAATAATTAACAGGATCAAGCTGTCTTGAAGGTTTCTGAGGACTGTCTTGTAAGTGAAGAGCCTTTGGTAAATTGCTGTGCAATGACACAGCATGCATGAGAAGTGTTGCTACTAAGTTATTATTAGGGGCGTTCACGGGACGGATCGGGACCGGAACAGGCCCGTCCCGGTGAACAGTAACGGGACAGAAAATCTGTCCCGTGTCCCGGCCCGTCCCGGGGTTGTCCCGGTCCCGGTCGGGACGGGACGGGACGTCCCGAAATAATTTTTTTTATTTTTTTTTATTTTTTTTAATTTTTTAAAAAAATTTTTAAAAATTTTTTTAAAAAATCTGATTTTTTAATTATATTTTTTTGAGCTTAAATCTTATAAAAACATTTTTTTTATTTGTTTGGGCACTCTTAAACAAAAGCTCAAAATATTACATATAATAGTTATTAAAAACTCTAAACAAAAGCTTTTAACACAATAAAAACTTGCTAAAAATTCTAATCATCAATAATTTCAAATCATTAACAATATAAAAACTCTAAATAAATATATCCATAGTTCCATACAATAGTCTCAAATCTTAAAAAAAATATGAAAACAATGATATTATATAAAAAATTAAAAAATTAAAATTTTTTTTTAAAAAAGGGACCGGGACGGGACGACCCCGTCCCGTGTCCCGTCCCGTCCCGGTCCCTTTTTTGTCCCGTCCCGGTTTGTCCCGTCCCGAAAAATTTCGGGACGGATCCGTCCCGTCCCAATAAGACCGGGACCGGAACGGGCCAACCGGGACGGGCCGGTCTTGAACACCCCTAGTTATTATGAAGGACATCAACAAAATGTTAGTTGAGATAGTAAGCGGTTTCATCTTCGTAAGGAAGGGAACACAAATTTGAATTTTGGTAAGTGCACTTATTTGGAAGGCTTTAACTTTAAAATTCCCAATGTGATAGAAATTAGTCTCAAGCATAAAATAACTTAAGAATATTCTGGGTTATATATGTATATATGTATAAAGAAAGTTATTGTAAAGGCCAAAAAAAAAAAACTGCAAACAAGTATCTACATGTTAATTTTTTTTTTTGCCAGGTGTCCATATGTTATATATGTACACATACATTATAAAATGCACGATTGTCATTATTAACAGTGCAATCTACTTAAGCTCGTATGGGAAGTTGAAACCCACCCATCTGGAAAATACATTAACCCGTTTGAACAATAATTGTATGATGCACATGTAAAAGATGGAAGGGATGTCCAAACGTGTATTAAACTCCTTAACAAAATCCATTAATTAATAAAATCCAAAATCCAAGCTCTTATTAGTGGAAAAATGAACAGAATCAAGTACGTACAAAGTAATACGAAAGGCTAAAACTCGACTTTTTTCCCCTCACTTTCTTTCCCTTCCTTTTTTGTTGATGCTACCTTTTATTTCCTTTTGGTTCAGGTAATATGAAGATAATTCTTATATAACTAGAGTTCATACTACTCAGGTAATATATTAAATAGACAAGTTCTGGAAGTTTTTTTTGGGGGGATTTATCAAGATTCGAGGTAGAAACTTTCAATTTAGAGACGCCTCATTTCCTTCTTTCTGATCCCGTATTTAATGCTGGAATTTGAATTATTTAAGAGATGGAATTTAGGGGGCCCTTGAATCCCTTCCTAGTGTTAATAAAAAAACTAATACTCAATAAACAATATAGGGAAAAGGGGGACAAGTGGGTGACGATGATGAACATAGCTTGATATGATACCATAGTAACTTGCCTCGCTCTTAGTAATATCGATCAATTAAGGTGGTTGCGTATCTCCAAGCTTCTGGAGTGCTTTCTCACCTTCAAATTCTTGCGGCCTGCCGTACACTGCAGCTTCCTCATCTCTAACGATAGGCACAGGTTGAAAAAAAAGAATGAATGATAGTTTATGGTAAAATAAAGAGAGAATGATGGCTTTAAGGTTTCTTATTAGTTAGTGTTGAATGATATTATAGTTTTGTTTCCTTTTAGTTTTTCCCGCCTTCAAAATATGCTAGACGAGTTCAAATAATTCATCTCAATTAGAAAATGATTTTGCGTTTTTTTTTTGAAATATGAGAACATCATATATGTGTGTGTGCATGCACACGCATATGTACGGATTGCTAATTAGTTTGAAAACAACTTTACCTAAGAACATTTGGAGGGTGTTTGGATACCCCAATAATCACTTTTCAGAAGCACTTTTTTCCAAATCGAAACACTCTTTCACATATTTACTTCATATACCGTAAAAACACTTTTGAAACCATAGTTTTGATCTTACCCAAACACCTTTTTGATCTAGTAACAGATCACTTGGATCATAAAGTAGGTGAATTGAGTTTTAATACTAACTTGTTAGAAAAAGAAAACTGAATCTGAATTAGTCTGTTGTTCGTATGCCTAACAGTATGATTCCAAAAAAGGCGCAAGACACTGAGTGGCCCAAAGGTTCATAAAAAAAAAAAAATCACCTTTGGAATGCAACGATATTTTTGTGGCTGTTTATTCTTACTGTATAGTTGAACAAAATCCAATGGTCGGACAACTTTTTTACTTTCTTCTTTGATAAAACCAGTCATAATAGGGATTTTGGATTGAGCTGCTAGCATCATTTTCATGGAAGAACAAAAGATACAATCGGTATTTCTCTTGGCGCTGAGAACTTCATCTGAACAAGAGCGTTGGAACCAAGACATGGGAAAAGGATAGACAATGGAAGGGTCTTTTGCACTAATATTCACAGAATGAAAAATCTGACTGATATAAGGGAAGCAGAATCTAGGAAACAGCTACCTTTTGAACGGCTTATAATCACTACATGAGAAGAAAATTGATACTTTACATTGTGATCCTAAACCTAATTCTCTTTATCTGAATATTCCGGCCTCATTTTGAACTATGCAAACTGGACAATACAACTCAGCTGCACAGCAAATACCAAAGGGCCTAGCTAATTACAGAATAGAAGCAGGCAGCCTATATGTGTGATGGCCACATCATAGTCAAATCCAATTACAAATTGAAATTAATCCCACAGACAAGCATCAATAGATGCAGCTGATCTTGTTTTTCCCAGATCGAATGCACTTCTAGCATCTTATTCTTACCGATAGAGAAGATGTCATGGGCATCAAATGCCAGTCTCACCAATCACCTCCGGCGTGCTGCACCAAAATGGTGGTGGGCTTTGCTGTCATTTTTTATCCTGTCAGCATACATCGGAAGGCGAATTATCTCGTAAATTTCATTCAACAAGATATCCTGTGTGATGTTGTCTTTTATGCTCCGCATAACCTGTAGTATATTGAAAAAACATCAGAAAGAGAGAGAGAAAAGAAAAGCTGAGCTAAAGTACAGCTTAAGACAAGCGGAGGAATATAGCTAAAGATTAAAGGGCCAGAGTAGGACCTTCTTGTAAGTATTAACATCATTTGGAGTTGATTTATCTGTCCTGGTTCGCATGTATACCCATTCCTGTTCATTTAAATCCCAAGAACACTCTATAATCTTCCCCGAATAAAGCAAGGGATCTGAACCATCTGCAGATAGGACTATCCAGTGAGTAATAGCAATGAAACCAGTCAAAAAGTAAGAATCAGTCATGAGCTAAAATTAGCCTTCACATCAAAACAAATCATAGCGGATAGTATTATTAAAACATGATCCCAAGACATTGATAGCGATAGCAACCATTTCTTGTCCTAACCAATTTCATGGCAAGCGCTTCCACTGAATGCTTGTGGCATACGAACATGTGCTACACAGAAATTAACAATAACAAAGCCAAAGATATGACTTGCAAGGGCACCAAGCAGAGGCAGCTTGCATAATCAAAACTGAAAGAGGTGGTCGGCATTTATTTTCTTTTCTTTTAACAGAAAAGGATCTCATCTGACTAACCTCTGAATGCAACTCTACTCCCTTCCATGAGTCTCTTCTTTCCTCGTTCATTAAGGAACAGTGACTGACGATCATCATCAATCTGTTCACAGAAGATAAAAATTAGGAAGATCACAAGTAACAAACTGGAAGTGACCAAGAATACGTAAAAAAGAAGGGGAAATTAAACGCAATATCCCAAAATCATATGCTATAAGCTGATGATACACCTCAAAGAGAAAATCTACTGAATTCATCTCAGGATATTTCCACTTCAGGAGGCCTTCATGAGTGCGGGGTACATAAGGATCATCCCAACCCTGAAAATTAATAACATCAGTAAGGACCTAAATTCAATTAAAAAGCATGAAAAAGGAAAAGTAGAATTTCATCCTCAGGAAGTAAGGGGGTATTTGGATAAGAACAAAACTATGGTTTCAAAAGTGCTTTTATGGTATACGAAGTAAATATATAAAGGAGTTTGCCTCGATTTGCGGAAAAGTGCTTCTGAAAAGTGTTTCTAGGATTATCCAAACACCTCCTAAATACCCTAAAAGGTTAGCATTGAGACAGAAACAACTTATCAACTTATCAGATAAGAGGGGAAAATAATTCTCATGTTAAGTACATTGACACTGATCGAAAACCCACCTGAAATATGAGGCCATCTGCATCATGTGAGAGTTTCTTAATGAATTCATTTAAAAGCTTTGTGACAGTAGAGAGCAACCAAAAATCTTTCCTCCTCACCTAATTAAAAAATACAAATATATTACCAGACAAGTTAATATAAAAAAGAAAAAGACATGAAGCTTAAACTCTGATCAGTCTAGGGTTAGTGATGCATACCCTGAATGGTTCCAGGTCATATCTATAATAAGGATTTCTACTCTGGTATGTATTATGCCGTTCCTGGTTTCTAGGTTCAATCACCTCTTTCTCAAGCATCTTCCACCGTTCATAGAACGGTCGCTGGACCAAAATTCAAAACTTTACAATTACAACGAGCTAGGTGCAGTTTTTTTTTAATCAAACAATAAACAAAACAAGAAAACATATTACATATTATTAAACAAACAATAATATAAAAGACAAGCTTAGGATGAAAAGGAAATTCCAGTCAGGCAGGATGAATATCCACACATAAAAGCAATTTTGAGGCAGTAGCACCTTGGACAAAAATGAGAAATATGTGTATATCAGTGTTTGCTAATTTATGCAACGACATATTCCCCTGTGCAGTAATAGATGTCTAAAGGCCTGGGGCCAGTTGATGGAATCAGACCATAGATAATATGAAAGGAAATAGGAATGTGTTAGAGAAAATTAGTAAGTACACAGAACACCAAAACCTCTAATAAACCAGAGGGAAATCTCCCCAATAGAGTAACAAATCAATTCAAATCTGCCTAATGCTACTTCCATGCATCTATTTATTATGTAAAACGCACAATTAAATAAACTAAACTCCTAGGACCTATATTAACGCGACTACATGCTGCCTAAAAATTTGAATAGTGGCCCCACATCAAATTGTGCCTTCTCCAACTTCTAGGTTGACCTGGCCTGCCACTACCCACTATTTCCATCCATGCCAGCTCAGTAGCTCTTTTGTTTCTCCAGAAATAGGTACAAATGCTATTGGATTATTGGATTCTCATCTCAATGATTCCCACCAAAATTATACATAAGTAGCGCACGCCTGAATCTTCTAATTGAAGCAATCCATAGTTTCTATCTATTACAGAGCCAACAGCAAAGCATGAAGGAAACACAGTTCTCTTCATCCCCAACCCGCACCCAAGAAAAATTAGAAAGCGTATAGATCTTGAAACTGCCGGAGATGCAATAGGTACATTTAGACTGCAACATGAAAAAGGTGCTGTTTTGCTAGCAGCACTAATAAGAAGGGAGGTAGACAATCTAGAGGAGAATCATTAAGAATCCATCTACAGTTTACCAGTTGACAATGAGCATCACCATTAAGGATGAACCAGGAAATTAAGGAGTTTAGTTGCATGGCAAATCTAGAACGTTTTAGTAATGCATCACATAATTAGAGATAACAGCAAGTGGGAACCATAAAATTTTTCCTCCGCAACAAGTATGAACCAATATTAGTTAAAAGCAAAAGGTGAGCATCCAGCCTTATAATGGGATGAGATATAAAGCAAACCTCTATTACTGGTACATGGTTAATTGCTATCATATCATATATAAGATATCTCCTCTCCTGTTTCTGTGAATCAGGCAACGTATCAATGATCATCTCCCCATCAAGTAACGTGTAGTGGTGGGTCTTCTCAGCCAAACCCTTAAAACCGAACATAACAAAGTGTCAATTTGGGCATCAATAAATTAAAACATCTCTGACAGCCACTCCCAGGAACTTCCAGTACAAAGTTGCACACATACATCATTTGAGCCTCTGCAAGGAAACCTCATTTGCACCCTTCGAAAATTGAAACTTCTATCAATCAAGTAACAGCCATCCATAGTTATTAGCATCATATATCTTGTTCCATCGGCTTTCCATGTTGCATAATAATATCGCTGTCGTAACAATTGTAAATTTTCCCTGAAATTTTAATATAATCAAATCTAGTTAAAAGATAAGGGACAAGGCATTGGAAATAACTTCTACAACCAATACGATTATCACAAGTAAAATGTAAAAACCATGGATGCATAGAGATAGATGACAAATCCAAAGGTGAAAAAATGCCTCTGAAGATGTGGGTATTCCTCTCAAACCAACAAACCACATATTCTGCGCCTTACCACAAAATCAACACCCCAAAAAAAAAAAAAAAAATCTTGTTAAGAACCCTCTCAAAGAATTTGTTGGAACTGGCCCAAGGCACAAGGACATACCCGACAATATCTAAAATACCAAAGAGGCTGTTTGAAGGGTAACTCAACGATGGACAATAAAGAAAAAACAAGGGCAAAGTTTCTAAATCAGATTTCCACATGACACGAATCAAGAGAAATGGTTTTATGGGGCCATCAAAGCAGCATTATCAACAGCGTTTATCCTTCTAACTATTGCAGTCTAAACAAAGGAATTGATATTATGAGGAGCTTTAGATTTGAAAATTTTCTTATCAATTACAAACCTTTTCCTCCTTGTAGAATGAGTATGGAACCAAAAATAGGATTTGCAAGAGAAAGAAGTAGATGAATCAAGATTCCAAACTCACGCCTCTTGACTTGAGCAAAAAGGAACAAGAACTATAAAAGACAAGGACTAAAGCTCACTGCTCTCACACCATTCTCATAACAAGAATATTCTTAGATCAATTGGAATTGGAATAAAAAAATAGAAACAAAATTTAGGATGGGAGAATTCTGCATGGTAAAAAGCCAATTATGACAAGGCATGATTCAGAAAAGGAATAATTTCCTCTCAAATATCTTCACAAAATCTTTTTTTCATGCCATCACCCACAACTCAATTTAATTTGTATTAATCAATATCATAAGATATTAAAGACAAAGGAAAGACAAAAAAGAAGATGCCCATGAGCATTCAAATGCTAAACACCTTGATAATGATGAGTTAAGGGACAAGAATAAGCACTAAAGTACGGCATTCAAAGAGCTAGCAGCCCCAATTTCAAGAGTCCTACTGCAGCAACTAATAGATGGACAAAATTATACAGGATTTCTTGTGGTCTGATGGCTTAGATTTATATCACATCCCAGTTAACCCCTTGGTCTTGTTTACTCAAACAAGACCAAAGGGTTTATTGGGATATGCTATAAATCTAAGGTGGATGGGCGTTTAGGTCTTGATAAGATTCTGGGTCTCAGTAACATTGTGTCTAAAGTAACTTCTCCTGTAGCATTGGAGCCTGATTCTTCATGGCAAAAGTTAATAAGCAAAAAATATGGAATTCAACAGATTAGTTGGGATGCTAACTGTTATTGGTGCTATTCACACACTGCCTTGGAAGTTCATCTCCCAGGTATATATTTTCTCTTCTCCTCTGCTTTCTTATAAGTTGGAATGATACTTGATTGAAGTTTTTGGAAGGACCAATCATTTTCACTTTTCAAACTCTTTTGTAGACTTATCGGTTAACTCTGCCATGCCTGAACCTAATATTTTCTTAAATTTGCAACATATAGAATTCCCCTGGAATTATTATTTCTCATTCTGTTGTTGGAATCATTTCCACTTTTCTGCTTAGATTCGAAACGAATCCAGATTATTCAGGCACAACTGTCATTTCATGATCATCTTCTAATTAAAAACCCATTTGCCCAAAACGTCTCTTTAAGCGCTTTGGGATGATCAAGGCTCCAAGGTAAAGGCTATTATTTGGACTGGAGCACTCAATAAATTTACCGAGTAAGTTAAACTCAAAGATCAAATAAGGCTATTTCATCACGTGTTTGATTGATTTGTTACCACGGTTTAGGAACAAAAGATAATCTTTCTGCAAGTTGAAGCAGCATCAGAGATTGGAGGTAGGCTGTTCAGCATCTTTAATGATTGCTGGGTTTGTCCGGCTGTTCTAGAGCAAATTTTAACTATCAAGTTCGATGGTTTTGAGAATAAAGAGCACCATTAAGTCCTTAGCAGTCTTCCTTTTCTGCAGGATTGTATGTGGCGAGAACAGCATGAGTCTTAAGCCAGAAATCTTGTGTACTACATCTGTGGTAGAGAATTATTTTTTTGTACTTCGCCGCAGTTTGCAGTCAATGGCTTTTTCAAGAGAAAAGGGAGAGTGGGTATGTCTCTTATAGATTTACAAAGGGATTAGAAAGCTCTTTTATGCTAACTTTTTGGTTTAGTTTATATTGCTAATGTTTGTGTAGTTTTTATTCCATCAAAGTTTGGAAAAATCTTCATGCTCCATCGTATTTTTTTCCATAGCAAATTCTTCTATTAAATTTAAACGATTAAAAGAAGTATATATCAACGCATAATATGCTACTTGAGTTCAATAAGTTGGACTTTGAACGCATAAATTTTGTCATAAAATATAAAACAAGTGAAATAACCAAAATGTAAATTGCCTACAGACCTATTAAGAGAAACTGGGTGTGAACCTGGAAAATGTGCGTGTCCTCTAGCCTGCACACAGAGAATTAGTAAAAGTGGTTCATACTTAGCTTAATCAGCACAAGAAAGTCATAAAAAATAACGGGTTTACAGGTGGGGGGAAAAAGAAAGATGCTGGCTACCATCTTCCAAAAATTAGATGGTGTCTGCAACTTGAATCTATATACTTCTATATATAATATTAAATCCACGAAAAGTCACACTGTTCATACAGTATGACTCACCCTAGACTTGATCAAAGAATGAAACCCTCATTATTATTTTAATAAACATAACACATTGTATTCAATAAAAATAAAAATATCTGATTAGTTCATCATGATCGTGATTATGAAAAATCAAACAAAGCCATCTCAGAAAGGAAACATCGGCCATTCCAAGAGAAAGATTCATGAAACACAGGAGGCTTCTGACACCAAAATTGCACAAATTATTCAAACAAAAAATGTCTTCCTGAGTATTGGTCCTCATATCAAAATTGCACACCAACAAATCTCCATCAAATACACACATCATAGCATGAACAGCTAAATGCACGAGAAGATACTACCAACAAATCAGCAATGTCATCGTCTTAAAATAAACACTTTGTTTGACATGAAGGAGTAAAATTCCTGAAACACAAGACGAATGTAGAAGGACACATAACATCTTACAAGCCAATAAGAAGATGTACAAGCACTTAGCATAACAAAACAAACAGGCCTGCAATGTGATATAATAACACAGGACCAAATAAGAAAATATCAATCGTGCTGGAACAAGCACTAGCATTATACATGCTATCAATCAATCTATCACAATATAGTCAAATAAAAATGGATACATACAGTAAAATAATCAACAATTAAGTAATCAAGTAATTAACATTGTACTATCTCCATATACGTTCTCAGCACAGAATGATTGTGAACAATACCTCACATGGAAACCAGCACTTTAAAAGGCTTACCCCGGTATTCAATTTCAGAGATTGATAACAGAACTGTCGAAATCCATCTTGTTGATCAATAGGTATTTCATCTCCCAAAACATCGTCATTTGTCATTATTGTATCTTTCTCATGGTTCTCCTGAGATCATTGAAACTAAGGTCAGCATTATTAAAACAAAGCCATATACTAACCCTTCTGTGAAAGTTTCCATCAGATGAACAAGCATCTTAAGCACAAAAATAGTTGACAACCATGTACAGAAAAATAATGAAGCAAGATAACATATTTTTTGGAGACCCACAAGTTCTGGATTATTGGGCTCTTGCCCATTAGACTTTTATTTTCCCCCTGTTGTTACCAGTTTTCGATTATTCTGTTAAGATATGTAGGAGTAATTATTTCAGTTATGATTATTTGTTCAGATTCCTAGATTTCACAAAAATTCTAAGTAGCCCATAAGGGCCTCATGTGCTTCACTAATATTATAGGCTGACAATGGACTTCAGATTCAGAATATGTTCAGCAATCATAAAAAAGTACAACAGTTATCTTAGATGACCCTTTACTTGCTATGACTTGGCTTGAGATTTGATATACAACAGCTAAGATTTAATATGTTATAAAATTATCACTATAATATTAAAAGATAAATATAAATTTAAATCGTTAAAATTTGATCTGCACAGTTTAGAGCTGCACTAAAAGGTAGCAGATAATAGAATAAGGCAAAATATAATAAATTAACTTTGTAAGCCATCCATACTTGAGGAGGACCTGGCACTCCATCATCATCATCATCATCTGGCATTGCTTCACCGTTGAGATCAAATTCAGAGGATCTCTTCCACTCTGGTGTAGGAGGACAAACTACCATTTCAGGCCTTTTTTCATGATAAAAAGTGTACAGAGCATCAATATAATCAGGTTTATAAATTCCTGGGGGGCGTGCTTCAGAAAATATTTTAATTGCCTGCAGAAGAGTCAAATTAACAAAATGAAAACAGAAATTCAAACATCTGTGTACGTGTGTGCATGTGCATGCGTGTGTCAGAGAGCGAGAGAGCCAAATACAAACCTGGGTGACAGACATAGACAGAGAGCGCATAAGATAATGAACAATCATGTACCCAGTACGATTATGTCCATGCGTACAATGGACAAGTATATACTTCTTTGCTTGTTTTTGACGTGATAGAAACTGAGTAACCTAAAATTGTAGACAATCACATGATTAAATATTTGTAAACAAAGTCAGCAACGTATGTTTTCCTCAAAGCCAAACAAAGCAATCGAATTTGATTTTTCTTCTTGGCCATGAACAAAAAAGAAATCTGATTTTTCTACTCTACGACTTCCACACAATCAAATGCAAGCATAACTACAACTAAAAATATATATAAATGGCATCACAATTCTACGTGGATGGATAAATAAATTATATTTTAAAAACAGTGAAGATATAAAAGGAAAGGAGTTTGTGCCTGTTAATTTTTCCCGCATCTACAAGAGAATCAATTGTTGTTTACATTTATCCTCTAACAGGAATTAATCCGGAAAAAAAAAAAATGCTTACACAAGATTTTTTTGCAAAAGAAAATATAGCTTCAACACATCAACCATTAAACAAATATCTTGAAACTACTAGGGACCCCCACTTTCAGAGTGCATTATGAAGTAATAAGAAATATGCTTCTACAAACAATGAGTGACATCTCTGCCATAGAAATAATAAAAAATTTCACATTCTCCAAAATAGCTCAGGGAGACAGAATATGAGAACGAAACAAACCTCATGGACAAATTGATTCACAGACAAATTGTCAGGCACAGAATCACGCCCCTTACATTGAATCTAAACCATAAAAATGAATTTAAAATATCAGGACCAGAAAAAGGCACCATACTTTTTGAGACATAATAAAAAAAATCAAGCCAGTAAAGAAAAATCGCCTGCTAGAAACCTTAATATGCTTGATACCCTCTTTCTTCAGATCTGAAACTGGATAGTAACGTGTAGTATTCGTCAGATCAATAACCAAACCAAGCTGCAAATCATAAGACAATGGAAAAGAGCAATCAGGAAGTTAGCAAAACATGTCACCCTACAATAGCAACTCCATAAACAAGCCCATCCAGGGATCCTTTTTGCCCCTGCTCCCCCTTTTCACACTCTTACTAACTAGTAAAAATTGCATTAAAAATCCAATTATGCCCTACAAGAGAAGATGTGCGGGACCAACAATGAAGAAACAGTTCAAGTAAATCACACAATTTATGTTTTCTACTTACTTTTCTCCCTAGAACTCTTTGTTGATGTATCACTTGTTTAAAAGAGTATCTTCGACCAGGAGCAATACAGTCATTGAATGATTCACCAAGTGGAACCTTGGAAGGTATCAAGCAATATATTTCCTGACCAAATGAAGGGCAATCCAACCACCCTGGAGGTGAACAAAAAATGATAATTCAGGATCACTTATCAATTTACACATACAACTGTAATCTGTCACATAAGACACATTCCAGTAATCTCCAATAACACTAAAGCAAAGCACCAACTACCCATCCTTCTGCAGCAGATGAATAACGGTCATATAAAAATATATATTCACTTCTATCAACCCCTCCCCCCTTCCCCAAAAGAAAAGATAATAAACAGCAAAGATAAAAAAGTACATAACAGATTACATGGGCCCTCCCTAAATAAAAGCTCAACAAAAGAAAAACGACTCCTGTAAACATCTCTAGCAAATTAATATACTTAATTTATGACAGAAAGCAGTAATTCAAGAAGGCATATTGACCTGGCCACTTCAAAGTGCCAGACTGGAGTGTAAAATTTACAATTTATATTTCACACGATAATGACACACATTAAAAGTTACATGACTTGCATATTACATTTGAAAACTCAAGAGTCAAGACAAAAGAACAGTGCAATCTATCAATTCATATAGTACTTAATCAGGTAGTAAACTTGACAAAGTAATGATCTTGATTTTAGGAGAATCTGACTGCAGTCAAATTACTAATTACCACTACCAGGGCAGCAATTTACCTGGAGGAAGCCTACTCTTATCATATGACTTAAAAGACTTTGCATGAAAGGTCTGATCATAACCAGTCGTTGACTGTGATACATGGGCAGGTCTATCATCTGTCCGTTCTCTTTTCAACCGCCTTTTCCTTTCTTCACGCTCCTAAAAAGAGGCAGGAAAAAAGCTATTACACACTGATAGAAAACACAACACATGGACAGAGAAAAGACATTTGAAATTTGAATGCTTATGAATAGTCATTGCGTGAATGCTTATTCACATATGTTATGCAAAAATAAAAGGCATCAGATATGATTAGATGCCCAAAGAATTCTTGTTCAAGATTTTGGGAATTTGGACAATATTGATACTTTATTTAACTAGGGAATCAGTTTCACCTCTGTACCATGGAATGGAAAGAGAAATCACAAAAGAAACGAAATAACTCAACTATAGCTGATGATAGCAAGAATAAAACAAATGAACACAGAAAGACTTGTAAACCTGACTTTCAAGAGGCCAGGTCCTCTCCACACCAAAACAAGCAATTTCCTACCTCAACCTACTGGCACAACAGCAACAAGCTTTATTGATTACCTGATACCATTGTGCTCTATTTGCAAACAAATCTTCCAATATATATACATATATATATGTTATTCACCATTAAATCTTGATTCATAACTTCCTTGAATGTCATTTTTTGTCTGCCTCTACCTCAACCAACTGGCACAAGCCCATAAAAATATACTTCCTGCCCACACATTCTGACATCAATAAATGACAATTAGCCAATTAGGTGCTCTGAGGTTTCTTTTCTTCACTGACCCGATGCTGTGAGGCCCTAGGGGGCTTCTTCCTGATGTACACATGAACCCATTTGCTTAAGGACAAGCCTTGAACACATTTCCTAACATAGACTTGGCCCATTGTTTCATCAGATTCATCAGGACTACTATCAGTTTTTATTTAATGTAAATGAGAAATACTAGAAGCCAAATTTTTGGGATTTCATTTTTCCCGTTATTTTCTCTTCTTTTTCAAAAGTAGCCATACTTCAGTCTCCTTCAGTGTTGGAGTGTCATCCATTCTGAGCTAGTGAAATTCATAATTTATTAACTCAGATACTAAACATCAGTTAAAATTCAGCACTAGAATTTTGGGCGCATCAAATTCATGTTCTTTCACAATGACAAGACAATTTGAAGTGTTTTTATTACGCTCTGTCAATACAGCAAACCAGACACATGCTTAATGTCTAAGAACATCTCAAGGCAAGTATCAAAATGGATTCCAGCAAAAGTTACTTCAAGTACATGGAATTGCATAGATACATGCAAGTTTAAGAAAAGGCTGTTCATTAGATCCATTCACTATTACTGTTGCATTATACTATAATTATTGATTACTGCAGTTTCCACTTGAGGGGGAATATAGATCAAATTAATTAATTCAATTTCTATTAGCTGTTACAAAATTACAACATCAATCCTTGACATTTTTCCAGGCCAGCTACTGATAACTGCAAGTGTACAATATTATGTAATATGTATGCCTCTATCTAATATTTGGAAACGAAAGAAGACCAGCTTTGCAAGAAAAAAGCGTTTCTTCCCGTAACAGGGATATAGAAGATGCAGGCACTAACATTGCCTCCATTTAAATAAATAAATAATACAGGTTTCAACTAAATAGGACAAAATTCTTGTTATAGCTTCATCGCAGTAATTATTATTTTCAGGGAATCAAGCATGAGAACCTCCCTAGAAACTGTGATAGGAGGGGGGAAGGGAGGGGGGAAGGGCTAAAATAGAAAAGAGTAGAAGAAATTGTACCCGGCGCGCTATATCAACTGCAGTTTCTATGCGTTCTTCTGGTTGGATATACTCTTCTATATGTCTCTCAAAAATATCCTCATCTTCCTCGGGCACCGGTGAGGCATTCAAGTCCATAGCCACAATCATTAAGCGCCAAGCAACATTCGCTGCAGTAGAATACTTACAGCCCACAACGACTTCAGTATGTCAGAAATTATAATCCTTTTGCCTGCATCATTTAAATAGCCAACAATCACACCCGCATGTCCAGCGAGACTAAATGTTACCAACATAATACACCGGCTTATTGTGCAAACATCAGTTCGACGAAGTAACCAAAATTTCCATGTTTTTTACAACAATATGAAACAGAGTAGAAAAATCAATTTGTTTGGTCCTCCTACCAACCGAGAACAGTCCCCATTGAAATCAGTGTTCTCTTCGCAATCCAAACGACAGAATCACGCAAATTCAATAAAAATCTTCCGCATTTCTGTTTCTTGCACCCCCATCTCCAAGGAATGATACATTAGCAGAATCAGCGCAAAATATTCAACCACTAGGTAGCAAAGCTCGCGCCCGAAATATAACACACTTGGACAGCAGAGAAGGAAAAGCGTAGAAGAGTGGCAAACCTCGCTAGACACACGAAATGGATGGCCAATTCCCCCGTGAAATGACGACCCTCCTCGCTCGCAGAGTACGAGTAAATCCCTCGTATCGGATCGAAAAATGAGGGTCGCTTGATCACAGTGACTGGGAGTTAATGTAATCAAGTTTCAATAAAGAAAGGAAAATCATGAAAAACCCTACAATTGTGGTGAGCAGAGCTCGTTCTTCATCACTGACAGTTCACATCGAACACCCAAGAGAAACAGAAAAAGGTGGGGACGACAAGGTTGGATTTGAGAGGAGTAAAGGTTGTTGCTCTGTTCTATCAATGCATGAATCAATCAAGCCATGTGATTGCGAAGAAGAGAGGATGAGAACAACGGATGCAGGCATAGGTAGACGAGGGAAAAAAGTACGCGATTCCTAGGCAGCTGATAGATTTCAGAAATTAATTTTTAAAGACATAATTTTAACTATATGCTTGCTCGCCTTAATTGCATAATTTCTGGTGATTAGCTATCAGTCTTTTGTAGCACCGGAAAAAATGACCATGTAATTTTTAAAAGAGAAAACTCATTATTCAATCCATATAATTTTATCAAGTTTGCAACTTAATCCTTATAATTTAACTCATTGCAACTTATTGGCAAAAGAAAGAAAAAAACTCACTTCCAATTTTAAAATTTCCTAATTTTTATAAGGGTTAATATAATTTTTTGTCCTTAAAATTTGAGTCTATTTTGTTTTTGATCCTTCAAATTTCAAACTCATGATTTTAGACCCTCAAATTTGGTTTGTCTTAAAATATTAGTCTTAAAAATGTAAAAATATTAAAATTTACTAAAATGTTATAAACAATGTCATAGTGGTGGTATAACCTAGCTAGGTCTTATATGAATAATAGAAAAGAAAAAGAAGAACAAGTTGTCAAAATGCAACTCTTTAGCGTCTTTTTTTATTTTTTCCCCTCTCACTCTGTTCTTTTGAATGAGCTGTTCACTGCAATGCATTCTGTTATCCACTCGAGATCTAGTTAAGTGTTATGGTGAGCTCACATCACTATTTTTTATGTTAATTCTGACACTTTAGTATATTTTAACATCATTGTATCGTTAGGGACTAACGTTTTGAGACAAACTACATTTTAGTGACTAAAACTACGGATTTGAAATTTGAGAGATCAAAACTCAAATGAACTCAAATTTCAAAAACTAAAAATTATATTAACATTTTTCATTCAACATTTGAGTCTCTAATAACTTTCCTATCTAACAATGTTAAAATCTTATTCATTTGATATCATTGTCAGCTGTATTCACAAAAATTGGCTTCTCATTTCTCCCTCTTCTTCTTTTACCATAATATTCTGTTTTCTCTTCCTCTGCTTCTTTGCCTGCGGAGAGATGAGAAACTTTCGAAGCAGGAAGGAATTGGTTTCTGCCAGAAAAAGGCAAGGAAGCAGAGGAAGATGAAAGGGAACGTTATGGCAAAAGAAGAGGAGAAAGAGAAGAGAAGCCATATTTTTGCTGAGGATGCCAAATAAACAAAATATTAACATTATCATATCAATGCCACACAAGACGAGTTATGAGACTCAAATGTTTTACAAGTTTTCAATTTTCAAATCTATACCTCTATCTTTGAATTTACATTTGTCCCTTCACCTAGGTAATAAAATAGCATCAAATCAACTTGAGCAGAATATATCGATGTCCACATGTGTGTTTTTTTTAATTCGAATATTGTTGGATTCAATTAGAGGTAATTTTTCTAAAAATATTTGTTTTTCATTCATATGAGCTTAAACCAGAGGCTTAAAGCTTAAGAGGCTAAACCTTTTTTTTCCTAGAACCAACTTTTGTTGATAATTTATTTTTCTTAAAAGATCAAATCAGTGAGAAATTTAATGATTAATTGCTACTACCTCCGGTCCTAATTATAAGAGTCAGTTGACTAATTTGAGGAGATTAAGGAAGTAAGTTGAGTTAGTTATGTGTCCTAAATAAGTGTTGTCTTTCCTAAAATATTCTTATTAATCAAGTGTATTAACTAGAACTATAATTATTAGAAGGATTATCTTGGAAAAAATTGAGTAAATATGATAAACAAAGTGGATTGGGATCTTATATTTAGGACCAAAATAAAAATCAAACAAAGTCTTATATTAAGGACCGGAGGTAGTATTTCATTCCAAGCATAATCCTAACGAGAAAGGTCAGCGACAGGCATCACATTCCTCATTAAAATTGAGAAATTAGTGAGGAATAATTTTAATGTCTCCAAAATTACATTTAGGGTGTCAAATTAACAAGAATTTTTTTTATAAAAACAATTAAAATGCATTAATTATAGAAAAAAAAAAAAAGCAATACAAGAGGGAGTTTCATACTCTTGCACCTGGCTAATTATAGAATTTTTTTTAATCCTTTTTCACATATAACTCCTAAATTATTTTTAATATGATGAAATAACGAGAAAAAATTGTCCAATAATTTGCTTATATAGTACTATTCTCATTCTTAATATTACCTCCGGTCCTTAATATAAAAACTAACTTGATTAATTTGAATAAATTAAGAAAATTAGGTAAATTAGTTATTTGTAATAAATAAGTATTGTCTTTATTAGAATACTCTGGCTAATATGTGTTTTAGCCTACACTATCATTTAATAGAATATTTAATACGTGCAATTACTATAAGGATTATCTTAAGAAAAATAATAAATATGATAGACAAAATGAATTGGAATCTTATATTTAGAATTAAATTAAATATCAAACTAATTCTTATATTCAGAATTGTAAGTAATACTACCTCTGATCCTAAATATAAGAGTTAGTTGACTAATTTGAATAGATTAAAAAAATAAATTAAATTATTTATTTATAATAAATATATATTATTTTTTTAAAAATATCTTTACTAATTAATAATTAAATATATTGATTAAAAATATTATTATTAGAGTGTTACAGTTCTCCATTCTCTCTCTCTCGTTTTGTCCTTTTTTTTTTATTGGGGTGACCGGATAGTTCTCGCTTCTCCTTACTCCTCACTGGCTCCTCACCTCCTTGCCTCCGATATCGAGAAGGACGCTCTGGAGGAAATCAGGCATGGTCGAAGACGAGAGTCTCTTTCGCAACGCCCTCTTCACCCTCTTCGCCATCGCTCCCCCAACCTTCATCGGCCTGCGATTCCTCCAAGCTCCATACGGCAAACACCACCGTTCCGGATGGGGTCCCAATCTGTCTCCTCCATTGGCATGGTTTCTCATGGAGAGCCCAACGATCTGGCTCACCCTCCTCCTCTTTCCTCACGGCCGTCACTCTTCAAATCCTAGATCCCTAACCCTCATCTCCCCTTTTCTTCTCCACTATTTCAATCGCACCATCCTCTACCCCCTTCGTCTTCTGAAATCGCCTTCATTGAAAACCGCCAGTGGTTTCCCTCTGAGCATTGCATCTATGGCATTCTTCTTCAACTTGTTGAACTCGTACGTGCAGGCTAGATGGGTTTCTCACTACAAGGATTACGACGACGGCGATGGGTGGTTCTGGTGGCGATTTTGCGGTGGTGCTGTGGTGTTTGTGTGTGGGATTTGGATTAACGTGTGGTCTGATAGGGAATTGCTGAGGCTGAAGCGACAAGGGAAGGGGTATGTAGTGCCCAGAGGAGGGATGTTTGAGCTCGTGAGCTGTCCAAATTACTTTGGGGAGATCGTGGAGTGGCTTGGATGGGCAGTGATGACTTGGTCATGGGCTGGATTAGGGTTCTTCCTTTACACTTACGCGAATTTGGTGCCTAGGGCAAGAGCAAATCATCAGTGGTATCTGGATAAATTTGGAGAGGATTATCCTAAGAATAGGAAAGCTGTTATTCCCTTCTTGTATTAATTGTTCAATGAAATGATACTGGCAACAACGATGGCCAGTCTTATTCACATCCCAGGGTATCTTGTGAGGGAAGAAACTCCTCATCAGAGGCCTGGTAAGTTTCCCATGGACAACACCAATGATCAACTGCTTTAACCGCCAATTTGTGCATGTTTATTCTCATGCTAACCTAGTTTGGCTTTTTTGATAAATTAACCGCCGAACCGTCGCAGTCCACATAGCCTCCGATTTGTTAACGAGGATGTTAGTTGTTACAGTTGAATAGAGGCGGCCCAGTGGCTTTGCTTCACCACTCTATCGTGAGATAGTGATTGATTCTATTCTCTGGTTACTGGGGGGTTAAGAAGGATGAAACAATGCTAGTAGTTTATATTTCATAGTGCTAATAGGAGATGCTAAACCAACTCCTTAATTAACGAAGAGTAGTACCAATATCTAGTCTGCAACTATCACCCAGACAAGTTTTAATAGGGTCACTAATAATCATCTCAGTAGAAACTGACTAAACTGAACCGGAACAAAATAAGTTAAAAATGAAATAAATAAGGCCATTTAAAATTGAGATATAGTTTATTTTTCATAATGCTAAAATTAATTGGTTCAGTTTGATTTTTGGTTTATCTTAATGTTTAGTCAATTTGAACCGAACCAAACTGCTTAAATAAATCTTTATATCCTCCATATTTAGCCAAAACCAATTAACATATTTTAAGATGTGAATATATCGACAATGATTGCATTATTTTGAACATATTTTGAAGAGTAAATGTGTGATATTTTGAAAATGACATGCGTATGTCATAAGCTTGAAGTTACGGTGCTATTTTGCATATGAATAATTTTTTTGGTGTTTTTTCAAGAAAAACGATTTTCGAAGAAAAATAGAACTTAAAATTAAAATGCAGTTTATCAGCATCTGCAATTTTTTACTCAAAAGCTTCGACTTAACTTTACCCAAACTGCAGTGACTTAAATCAAACTAAGCTGATACCAATTTAAGCCTAATAATAAGTTCGGGCTTCGGAGTTTTAAACCCATATTAGTATCACTTCATTTTATGAAGGCAAAAATGCACATTTAAAAAAAAAATCAAAACAGAATTTATTTTGATATCTTAATTTTATAAAATATTTTTCAAGTCTTTTAACCCAAAAGATATTAATAAAACATTGTTGACATTGAAATTTTAAATATTGATAAAACATTTTTAAGTACTGGTAAATTAAATTAAAATTTTAAAATAAACTACAAAAAAAAATCATTTTAGGCTAATATTCAAATCACCATAAAATATTTTTTTAGAACTAAGGGATTAAGCTGATGTCTAAGGTTAAGTGACCAAAAAAAAAAAAAATAGTGACACTTGTCTTTTATATTATTAACACACCACATAGATGCCCTATCCAAGAAGCCGCATAAATTATACAATATACTGGCAGCGAAAAAAATTAGACAACGATTTACCGGGGGAACAAGAAGTAGAAGACAACAATAGTAGCGAATAAGCAGTCTGAAATACCACATATTCATATTATTAGGGCCCTGAGACTCGAGAAATCTATACACTGTTCATTCAAGTCTATTAAGGGAGAAAATCGACCATTAAAAAAATCTGAATAGAAAGAAAACAAAAAAAGAAATGTAAACAAGATGCTGATAAATTAATCACTAAAGATAACGGAAACCTCCTTTACTCAAATCCAAGTACAAACAAAATGGTTTTTGCTTTGCTCATCCTACTGGTCTTCCTCTGAGAAATGACAGAAACATATCAGTCACATTCTCATGGAATCTCCACGGTGTTCCCTTGAATCCCAGAACTCGCATCCAACAAAGATGGTTATGAATTATGGTACCTAGTTTTGCATAAGGAAGGCACAGGCCCATCACAGCTCCATTCATGTACTTATCTCAAGACTGCAACATATTCACCAGAGCCTGACAGAGAGATACATCATATATACTGCACGAAATAAGTTTACGTATAATCAAACTAAGTACGAAGCTAGTGTCATTTTATACTGTTCAATACTACTTAATTCAAAATCACATCAAACCAGCTTAGAAGTTGCTATAATGCGGATAGGAGCCTTGGGGATAACCAGACAAGTGATCTACGCAATTTCCTTTCTTTTTTTTTAAATTACAATGAACTTGCTCATGTTAACAACCAGGAGATTAATTCTGAGAAGTAGACGAAAAATTGCCACTAGCGGTTAAGCGATAACAAAACAAATCACAAAGTTGAATGAGGCGCTTCAACACAGCCAAACCACATGGGGAAAATTATGATTGACCCAAAGGAAAATTGAAATCGCATCTCCCTGATGAAGGTAACAGGAAAGACCAATATTCTAGTAAAACTATAAAGATAGACGAAACAACATCTTTGCGTAGTTAGAGCTGATGAACTCACATTAAGAATAGGTGCGGTTTGCACCAACTTTCTCTCTCAACTCATCATGGGTAAGACCGTCTCCTGCTGGATCTTCGTCGGATTCTCCAGAAAATTCATTCATGCTGGAAGTCTTAGATGTTATACTGTCAAACTTCTCTTTTAAGCTAGAAGTAGACATGGTCTCTGCAAGGCTTTGCTTTATTTGTTGTTCCAAAGCAACAATTCTATTTTTCAAGGTCAAATCAAGATTGTTTCCTGCCTTGGCAACCTCCATTTTCAGTAGCTCTATCTTGCTCTTAAGACCTGGTGAGTTTAGGGCATTTTCAATTCCCTTGTAGACGTCTTTGTTTAGTTCTTCTATCAATGACAGCGATGACTCCCCAATATTGTCCTGTGCCTTTGCTTTAACAATCTCAACCTCTAAGCCCTTTGACTTCAAAGCATCAACAAGCTGCAACTCAACCTCTTTCTTAAACTCAATGATTTTCTTTTTCAACTTATCATCCAAATCCCTTGGTGAGGATACACCAGAACCTTCAACTTCGGCCTTCAACGTCTCGTATTTTTCCTTTATACTGGGGCTGTTTATAATATCTTCTAATTTAGCCGAGAAATCTTGCTTCAATGTGACAGCCTTCTTATTTCGATCCGCCAGAAATTTTACTTGAGATAATTTTTTCAAAATGCCAAGCTTGTTCTGAAGTCTCTCATAATTGGGAGCTGCTGATAATCGCTGATTGAACTCCTCCTTTAGCTTTTCAATCTTATCCTTCAGAACTGGATGAATAAGTTGGTCTTCTGCATTTGCTTTTGAAACTTCCTCCCGTAGCTTCACCAACTTGTCCATCAAGCCCATGGCTTTTACTGCCTCTGAGTATTCTTGATCAACCTCATCTTTTACTTGCTGTATTATCGCTTCCACATCTGACTCTGGAGGCTTGGTGGTGGATGTTTTGGCTTTCAAAATTTGCTCCTTCAGTTTCTCAACCTCACCCTCTAATTCAGCATCAGGAATTCTCTTAGTATCTGGTTGTTCCTTCTTCTTCATGTTGACTTTCCACTTAGGATCAATAGCAACTCCTTCCTGGACACCACCAATTTTTCGGTACTTGAGCATACGATGCTTTAGTAGGTCTTCGGTTTCCATCTTAGTGAGCTCCTATACATTAGAGAAGACAGATTCAAATTGAGAGACACTTCAGTGTATTTAATTTCACTGGAAAAGACGTTGACTTTAAGCTTACATCCATGGTTTCGTTGATTGCAAATTTTATCTGTTGAGATGTCCAAGATGGATCTGCATGTGCGCCACCCAGTGGCTCCTATTAAATAAGAAAAATGAAATTCCACTTAGATGCCCTATAGAATGAATGTCCTATCTCGCACACAAAAGATTGCCCCCGGGTTGGGGGGGGGGGGAGCAAATAGAAGCAAGGGGAATTATCAAATTGCCTCTAGAGTAAGATGGGTTTCATTGGCCTTTTCTAAAAAATAATTTATGATTGGATACTCCTTATGGCCAAAGTGAATTGCATCGATAAAAGGGCGCTTGAGAAAAAAAGGGGGGAAATTGAAGACAAGAAGGTATGATTGATAGGATTATTACAGGAATAACACCATCTGCAACTTGCAATTTGCACAATTCTTTGGCTGTTATTCTCAATTTCTCAGCAGCCTGCAAAGGGCAATAAAGAATAACATAATTTTAGACAGCTAAACATTACTATAGAGTGAATTGTACTTACAAAAAGTTCAAGGACTTCAATGTTTTGGACCCCTTATTTTAAATTTTTCATTCAAATTAAACCCCCCTTTCTTGGTGTTTCAAGAAGGGTTAGTTTAATTTCAATAATATGAAGGGTGGTCTCTATTTAATTACCCCACATATTTCTTTTTCCCCAAATATCCAAGATATGGCCATGTGCTATAAAGATTTATGAACCTGAGGAGAAGCTTTAGAAGTCTTCCACAAGATTGCTGCACACGCCTCTGGACTAAATCATGGTAAAAATGGACAGAAACCAGCAGAACAAGTTAGACCAGAGATTTGTTCACAAACAGAAATATTCCAAAAATTAAGGAAAATCTATGCAAATGCAAAACCAAATTCATTTCAAATGTATGTTGAACGAATCTGATCACTTAAAGCAAACATAAATTAACCACAATAATGAGCCCACAAGCACATCGCCATATAATGAGAAGCATTTATATAAGCGACAAATGGAGAGAGACATGAATGGTACAAATGCAATATAACGGAATTTAGAGAGTGACATAAAATCCAAATCACCTGGCTACGTAAAAAACTGCATTTTCAAGCATAAGCAATTTATTAGCACAGCCAATGGCAAGGGCACCGCCAGAACCGCCTTCCCCAATAACTATAGACACAATTGGCACCTTCAGTCCAAACATGGTCCTCAAATTGTGAGCAATGGCTTCACCCTGCATGCATGCAAAGCAGTTAAATATGTTAACCTGCTGCTTAGACAGAACCAAGGTACAATTATAAATTTATAATGCATAATTTAATCAGCCGAATACTTGGCCTAGTTCCTCTGATTTAAGGTCAGCATATGCTCCAGGTGTATCTATGAAAGTGATTATGGGAAACCCATGGTGATCTGCATAATACATCATGCGAAGAGCCTTCCTGTAACTGTATGAATTGAAAATAACATTATCAGAATCAGATATAGAGTAATTTGATAATGCCTCAACTTAATCAAGTATGCCAGATGGAGCACTATATTGAATCTAGTTAATTTCTCAATAACGGGAAAAGAATTTCTAGTGCCCAACATACCCATGGGGAGTCGGCATTCCAAAATTACGCTGAATATTTTCTTTAGTATTTCTACCCTTTTGCTGGCCTATGAACATGTATCTTCTACCATCTATAGTCCCTATACCAGTAACAATAGCCGGATCATCATAACCTGCCCGATCACCGTGGAGTTCAACAAACTGCAACATTAGGAAATGTGAGACTACTACTCCAGGTTTGTTTGAAAACAAACAAACTAATGATGTTCAAAAGTGTATGCAAAATTACTATAAAAGTATGATGATATGTAGTGGACCTTATCAGTTATGTTAAAGATATGATCAAGGAAAGTAGGTCTGTTAGGATGCCGAGCAATGCCAACCCGCTGAATAGGTGTCAGACGTGCATATAAATCTTTTAAAGCCTGAAATACCAATGTCATATGTCAGAGAAATAAAGAGGAAACATTTGAGATTAAACGATTGTGACTCAAATATAAAGAAAAAACAAAGCACCGTCAACATATATTATACCACTGGATAAAGTAGAATATGAATCTAAACAGTCCAATCAATGTTTTATAGAAACAAGTGTGAAGCAGCTTAACTTGCCAAGAAGGGGATCATGGGATTTGCAACAAATGAATTTCAAAAATGAATAATAGTTAAGCTCAGGGAATTCATCTAGAGTATAAATAAACGGAATATATGCTACAGCCCCATTTGCAAGTACCTACCACAAAGCAATATTTATTAAAGAGAAATGAAAGGTGGGTTGGGGGGTAATTCGAGAGCAATACAATCGACCAATTTTTTTTTTTTTTTTTTGAGTACTATGAGCAAATTGAATACGATAGTCTCTTCTTGGTCAACCATCAGTATAATAAATATCCAGATTTCTCAAGAGTAACGTTTATGACAATCAAACCTGTTGGTACTTGGTCTCTAATAAGATGATCTGGTCACTGAAGTCTAGGCCGGTGTCTTTTGCCATCTTCCGCACCTGTTTGGTAGCAGAATAGCATAATCTCGATGAGGAACGCTCTTACATGTAAATCTCACTTACAAAGGGGAAAAGAAAAAAGAAACCAGCAAATTTCAAATTACATCGTTGATCTTCTTTTCCAGTTCGACAAGTGGTCTTTCAAAATCCAGAGTGACTGGCTTTTGCTTCTCTTTGAGTGGCTTGAAATGAGAAAGATGAGTTAGCACTCCCCCTTTCACATCAGGGTCGGGGTTATCGGGCCAAGGATATTCGTGCTTCTTCCCCTTCTTTATCTTCGCAGAAACTGTAAAATCCCTTCTCTTCAGTTTAAGAGGCAGGCGTCCTAAAGTTTTTAAAGAGACACCAGAAACACCGTTTGTTGAGCTTCGGAGAAGATCCGAAGCTGAAGTCCCAGCAAACGCAACAGCCCCATGAGATGCAGAAGCCATTCTCTGCAGCCCGTCGTGCTACGACTCAGTCAATTTCTTCGCAAACTGTCCAATTAAAAGTGAAAAAAATTGAAAAACCAAAATGAACTGAAAAGCATATTTTTCGAGCAGGACACAAATTTACCCAGACCCAAAATGCTAAAAAGAACAATAACTAAATGATGACGGCACAGGATAACAAGTGGTCAGCGTCCCATCTCTATTAAAATCCTTCCGGTGAATACATCAACTTAGCTAAGCTTCACGTTCAAAAATTGAAAGCATAATTGTACACGAGTTCAACTTCTATTCAGCCTAACATTTCTCGAAACATAAAGAAAGCAATCGAGAATCAATTCTAGAATCTTGCATCAAGAGATTTAATAAAGAGGGGGGGGACAAAGAAAGAAAGTTACTCGTACTGGCAAGTAAAGCAGATTCCACATGCAGAGAGAGGGAAACATGAGAAAAGAAGAAAGAGAACCACATTTTCTCAAGATAACGATGGAAGAAATGGCGGGGTTTCGAGAGAAATTACCGGAACGAGATAGCCAAGTGGGAGATCCCTGGAAAGGAAGGGGAAAGAAAGCGATCTCCAATTAGATAGGAGATTGGCCGGCGATAGAAAGAAAGGGAGAAATCTTATGAAATAATAAGAATTGAGAGAGAGAGAGAGAGAGAGAGAGAGAGAGAGAGCTATCTTTGTGGAGATCGTCAGTGAAAGAGGAAGGGAAGTGGTGTTTGTAGGTGAGTTAGCTTGGGTGGCGATACTTACAATGTGAGTGTGAACTGTGAACGTGGAGGAAGGAGAGGAGCAAATTCTCCTGTGCGGGCTTCCGCACTGTGCTTACGATGGGCCTTCACTATTCCGTTTGGTCGTTAAAGAAAGACGCAGCCTGGCTTTGTTCCCTCCGCCAAGCGAACCCTCGAAGCGAACCACATGTGCTCACGCCCGATGCCTCCTTTTTTATTTACATTTTAATTATATAATCATCAATATCAATATTAATTTTAATTAATTAATATAAAATTGATAAATTAGTCCCTGTTGATAATCACGTCGCCTGCCCATTCTCTTTGCCGCGGCTGCTATTGTCTTCGCCACTGCTGCTGTCGCCCACGAACGGAGGTCGCCGCTGGTTTTCCGTGAGGTAAATTGCTCTTCATCGTTTCGTCGTGTAATTTCTGTTTATCATTTCTTCATCGTCTTCAAGCTTGTGGCATTTATTAGTTCTGATCTTGGACAAAAATGGAGCCTTTTGTACATCGTTTGTTGTCTTCCTAAAACTAAATTGATGACGAAGCTCCGTAGTGATTTGCGATGAAATCTGAGAATCAAACTATGGTAACAGTAGTTGCGTCCTTGTGACCTCCGTTAACCGTTATAATACGTTTCGCTCGCATGACTGTGGAATAAAGATACTGTGTGCAGAAATTGTCCCTCATGCCCTGTGAATTGTTTGGCATCAAGAGAATTGTTTCACGTTTTAATTCCCTTCTGCACCTTTCTAAAGTGAAACCTTTGGCATGCGCTAGAGCGGAGTTGGTTCTTTCCTTAGATACTCTTTTATTCGTGTTTAACATTCATATGAATGGCTGTTTTAAGTTACTAAAGGCTTTCAAGTATTACAGCTGTCTAGATGATAAAATCTCTTTGTTGTGCAGCTTGTAGTGGTCTTCTTCTATTTATTATGCCATTGCCTTTCCTTATTAGAAGGAATTCTCTTCACTCTATTATCATTATAAGCAACCATAATTATTGCCCTTAATGCAGCTTTAATGAAGTTTCTGGACTGGTATTTGAAGATTGGGGTTGTGTCAGCCTTGGTCGGAGCTTCTATGGAGTTGTTCATGATCAAAACTGGCTTCTGTGTGAGAAACCTCCATTTTTTCTAATCCTATGCCTCTCTTTCAATTAATGTATGACTAGACCCGTGGCACGCCTATTGGTGGAAATTAAATGTTTCATGACCAGTTAGCAACATCTCGCATACTAATAGCATATTGGGAACTGGCTTATCGAGATATAACAAAATATGGCCCCTCCAAGAATCTTGACTGGGTGGTATCATGCAGATGACAAAGTAACTGTTTTGGAGTCAGAGAAGCGCGCATGGGAGAATTCTCCAGAAGCTCAGGCAGTCAGAGAAGCACTCAATCCTTGGAAACATATTGATGCTGAAAGAACGAAAAAATCCTGACTCGAGGACGAATCATTTTTTCCTCTTTACAGATTTTCATGATGATGTAGCTGCAAGAATATGCAGGGGAAGAAGGAAACAAGAACAAAAGCAAAGCATCTGTAGAGTAAACTAATAGCATAAGAACTAGCAATTATGTTAAAACTACGGTATTGTACTGGCTATTCCCGAGCTGATTGATTCTGGGCAGCCTTTGGATGAATCACAGCCTTCAAATGGTTGGTTTTCAAATCAAATGGTGTATTACTGTGTTACTGATATGTTATTTGCAATGGTTAATTGGAATGCTCAGACCAACTTTAGCTTTTCGAAATTGGCTGCTGAACGGCAACCTTGACTTCCTGCGAAAACAAACAGATTATACTTTGGGTGATGAACTGCTTGAAAATCAAACAGATGAAGGACTTTATACGCATATCTGCAGGCTCATAAACACAGGTTTAATTACATTCCTCGTTCTTGAAGAGCAAGCGCCGGCAAATGAATTATACTTTGGGTGATGAACTGCTTGAAAATCAAACAGATGAAGGACTTTATACGCATATCTGCAGGCTCATAAACACAGGTTTAATTACATTCCTCGTTCTTGAAGAGCAAGCGCCGGCAAATGAATAACAAGACGGATTATTACCCAGGATCTAAAATTCAAGTTTCACGGGTACCCACTGGCCACTGCCATGGAAGTCTCCCAAAATTGTCTACCTTCCAGTCCACGGAAATTAACCCCACCGATCTTCACTGGTTTTTTTTTCCAATCAACTTCAATCTTCATTTCTTCTTGTTCATGTTCCACAGGCAAAGGAGAAAAACATTCTGACATTGCGTCTGACTGCCATATCATGGAGCTCTAAGAATCCAATTCATCGATATCTACATGACAATTCAATTCACTAGAATCCTGATCATCCTCACGACCATCACCAACCTCAGATAGACCATACAGACCATCTGTGTCATTGTTATAAGATTCAGCGTCATCCTCATTATGACCAGCAATAGTGGCTGTGCTGGGATAGAGACTAAAGAAGCCGGAGTCTGCTTCTGAATCTGCAGTTCTGCACTATCCTCCATGGCGAACGATGATGATACATCCACGCCCTTCATTTCTTCTCCTCAGAAAAGAAAAGCGATCGAAAGTTTCGCTTGTTTAGGTAGTGAAATTCGAGTAATGACTGCCACAACTAGTTAATCTCCTCGAAATCACTGATAGCCCCTAATGCATTGCTTTCGTCTTCTCCGATGAGACAATTGAGGACTGTTTCAATGGTCAAGTCCCAAAAAATGACCAAACCAAAGTAAAACCTCCTTTAAACTAAATTTTGCTAATTTTAAATAGCCCCATATGGATTTGATTTTATTCTCTGCTCTTTTCCCTTATTTTCCTGACACACTGTGGAGTCAAGTGATAGTCGTAGAATTCAGTCTTAATGCACTGCGATGCATGTGAGAGACATGTTGATAAAGCCATCTAGTGCCTTCTCAATTCTATCACTGTTTAATTAGTTAAATTCCATTGATGGAATCATCGCATTATTGAATTTTAGTAGTTTGGTTCTGCTAATTGAAAGTAGAAAACAGTGTGGCGGCGGTGGGTTGGATTGACCCAAAGAAAGTGTTGAAGCTAAAGACAGGGAAGAAAGTCGGGATTTTGAGGAACAAGGAGGAAGCAAAAGATGAATGTGATAAAAGGGACCTGAATTCGGGTCTGGTTCTGTTGAACCCGTTCATGCATCAACTTGATGGTCGTTTAGACACTCAAGTTTTAATGATGTTCTTGAGACGAGAATCCAAATATATGTAATAATAGGTAGAGAGAATACTTGTTTTGTTCTTTGATTTCGACCATCCCCGCAATAACACCAATTATACGAAGGGTCATTGACTACAATTTTCTGCATTTCCCACCACAACTCCAATAAATTACAGACTCCCCAATGAATACACAACATGCTAGAACCAATTCTGCGAAGGTGAATTATGTAATACCAAATTAGAACGTGAATCCCATGAATAATACATCTCACTATACATTTTGTATTTATATATGTAGACCTAAAATTAACATTGATCCTATATACAAGGTTTATTCCACATGTTTATCAATTTTTTCCCAAATTAATTCTACTAATATTTTCAGAAGCAGGGAACTAAGTACGATGGAAAAAACATATCTTATTCGCTAATTTAATTAACATCTTCAATTTACTCAAATTAGTTAATTAAGTCTGAGTATAAGACATTAACTTCTCACGATCATAAAACATTAGATCGCGAACACTTGAGGGAAAAATTTATCCAAAGCCTAGATAACTCGTGGAGCGGCTTCCATATAGATTGGTAATGAAATCGGGGCCAAGGATGTAAGCAACTGTTCATATAGTAAAGCAGCTTTCTCACAACAAAACCCAAAATAGTCACAGCCAAAGACTAAGATATTAACATTCCTGCCCCTCCAAATATCAAGGCCAAGTACAATGATTCGTCACATCTACCGCCCTTCAGGAAAAGACTAGACATAGCGCCAGCCCGAAATCATACGCTTTATGGCCAATCAACGGGGACTGCACAAGCACAACCAAGAAAAATAACTAATCAGTCATTGCGCAAATATCCCAATATTAGTTCAATTCCCAGGGCAAAGGAATTAAAATTTGTGGCAATGCAGATATTTTGTTTCCATGGGGCTGCGTGAATTTGAAATTAACGATGTGTTAAACATTGGGTATTTAGCCTCAATGTGGGAACATAAATGGATTTCTTTAACCCAATCTTATTATAATTCTAGGATTTAACCGGCTAAACATGATCATTATGGATCACACTTGGAATGGGCAAAAATTTGACAAACAATGATTGACCACTGTTTACTTCAGTTCGTACACCTGCAGAATACCTGTATGACCGTGAACGAGACCTTGAGGGACTGCGACCATTACCCCTGGGACTCTCTGATCTACTACGTGTATGATCCCTCCTGTCATCAGGACTCCGACCATTCTCCCTTGGAGTTGGGGACCTCCTGTAATCCTTCCTTCCACGAGGCGAAGGAGACCTGGAATAAGATCTTGATCGCTCAGGGGAATAATAATCGTCCTTATCCCTATGATCCCTGTATCAGCAGCAGAAAGACAAAGTGGACAAGATATTGGTGAATAAAAAATTACAAATACAAGACACATAAGAATAAAACAAACCAGAAGCGTCTCATAAATCAGTAAAATATCCAAATATATGCAGTAGTAGCAATAGTAATAGCAGCAACAAACTAGCAATAAGTCATTCATGCGGTCTTTCAAACCGAACTCTGAGCATTTTTCACATATAGATGGACTAATACTTACTTCCTCTTCAAAATTTAACTAAAAATATGACCTTTACCTGCACCTTCCCATATTTCTTCGACAAATACAGATACTTGGATCGAAACAGAGTTATAATGATGTACTGCAAGATCAGCATCTGTAACTTCATAGGTCTCTTTGCCCCAACTTTATAAAATCACAATTATCTTTCTTGCACAATGTCATCATTTCTCTACCAGTATAAACTTTGGCTTCCTTTCTTTGAGGATGATTTTCTTTGGCCAAGTATAAGCTTTATATTCTTTATAAACTGGATGGTATATGCAAAACAAGGTATTAAACTTAATAAAGCCTACTTTAAAATAAATTTATACAAGAGGAAAAGAATTACTCTACATAATCGAACCATTCCTCATGCCATGATTAACCTTCACTAGCACGCTCAATAAGCAAGCCTTACAAACCAAATACCACAATGTTGGGAAAATCCATGCAACTGGTGGAACAGTCAAACATATGGGAATTTCCTATGAGGAGTCTGATAGAAATGCAAGCAAGTAGCACATCACTTTAAGCCTCTTTACTCGTTAATCTTTATTAATCCAGAAGTCTTTAAAGTCTTCTAGTTCAACTTTAATATCTGCATAAAGAAGACAATGGCAGCTATCATTTAAGTCATTGGAACGCATTGCAGGGAAGTCATCATGATCAAAGGATTGGATACGATCCCAACTTCTCATAAAAAGTAAGCAGCAAAGCTGCAAACTATCACTCTGAACCAGCAAGGAGAACGTATAATCATTACTGACAAATTTATTATGGAACCCAGCCTCCTAAAAAAAACCTCTACTACTATGAATGCATCATCAAAACACTAGCATCACAATAGGAAGCAAAGGTTGATAGTCAACTCAAACAAGAGATAAATTTTTCCCAAGGATTGAAAACTATAAAACGAAACAACTATGTATATAAAAGTAGCTGTATTTTGGGTTATTCAGATTAATAAAGAGTTTGGTCAAGTTGAACAAGATAAACGGCTCAAGCTTGGAAGGAGGTAACACAACATCAACATTTACATGCAAACCACATTCATAAACATAGGACTAATTGTAGCTTTTGCCAATGTTAATTGAATTAATTGGCTAAACATTAGAAAATTCATTCAGAAAATATATTGACGGGGAAAACATGATAAGATATATACATGGGGAAAGTAATATATAATTATAATGGATAAAACTCAAACCTTGGGTGATCCCCAGCTGGCGATAGAGACCTTGAGTAGGCTGCAACCAAGATGAGATATTGCAAGAAATCATTAATTTCCATTGCTAGCTTAAAAATGGATAAGTTTGATAAAATTGCCAAAAACTAGAATGTAGTTCACGTGCTTTGCATAGAATCCTAAGTGAATTGCACTATGTATAACTTATGAATAATGCGACCTCCTATAAATTCTATAATATATATAAATATAGATAATTGGTTCTCATAACAAACTCCTTTTTAAGGAAGAAGAAAGTATTAAGGTTACAAGCAATACTTCTTATGTTTATTTCTCATAGCAAGCTTAAACCTCAATAAGTTAAATGTGTTGCATTAAGAAACTAATTTAGACCCTAGGATAAGGGGTTTAAACTAACAACGATATCGGCGGGATCTTGTGGGAGTTCTCCTTCTACCATTTCCTCCATATCGACCACTATAAGTTGAAAAAGAAAACATAAGTCAATAAGAATTAGAGATCCAGTAAAGAGTACAAGTAAAATACCAAAAATGTGAAACGCTTCATAGAACAGACAGTCAACATACCTTATGCGAACATTCGAACGCATTTCTTGAGGAGTTTTCCTATTTTCCTCAGCATACACAATTCTGATCTCACGTCCACCAATAACAGTATGATTAAGTTGTTGCTTTGCCTCAGCAGCATCTTCAGCATACCGGAACTTTACAAAGCCAAAGCCCCGGGGCTCACTACAATACAAATTAAACAAAATTATTCAGTGTTTTAAGAGCATACACATGCAATCAGAGAAAGTGAGTATGAACACACATAGGCGATAAGCTTTCGCTATTGTTTATTTCGGAGGTACAAGTAATTCACATTTCTGACAAACACGCACAAGCTGCAGTAACTATTTCACAACCGGCATGGACTTCTAAATTTTCAAGCGACACAAAACTGAAGATAGACTACAGCTATTGGCAATAATACTTAACCTGTAATAAGTTAAAATGTGCAATAGCAACATAACATAAAATAAAAAATGACCAGCAAATAGCCTCACAACAGCAGAATTCATGCAAAGCAAAAACCAAAAAATATAAATATTGAATGATTTTGTTATACAGAGAAGACAGATTAGTGATCGAGATTTGTTATAATAATTTTAAAAAATGGCACTATTTCTCAGGGATTCTCACACAGTCAAGATGCTTTTTGTGTGCCTTATAACTAAACCACTGGTTTACAAATACAGCATGCGTTACAGTGCAAAGATAAGAACATAGTAAAGCATTTAATAAACGGAGAACAGACATACCCAGTGTAGTAATTCTTAGGAAGATATACATCTTTCACAGGGCCATAGCGCTCAAAGGGGCCTCTAAGATCTTCAGGCCTGCATAGTAGAATAAAAAAAGTTATTTAGGATTTTGTTCAGATATACGGAAGGAAACTATCCACTTATTCCAACCCTTAGCGAAAATATGCTTATAGCAACGGAAGAAACGAGAGTGAGTGACTTGTCAGAGGGCTCGGAGTTGGTAAGTACCGTCTACACACTGGTATTGTCTCTCACATGGGCATTTCAAACGTTTATAGAGGTTCAAAATGAATGCTCCCCACAAAAATGTGCCAAGTATTAGAAAAGGGATCATTTACGAGGAACAAAGTGGCAGCATCATCAACAGGAAAACAGAATAAAATCCAATATACGAGTAAATATAAGGGAGATAAGAAGAAGAACTGACACAGCATCGAGCGGAAGATTACGGACAAGCAAGCCTGAAGGAGCAGGAGAGCGGCGGTCCCTGTAGGACCTGCTTTCACGGTAGCGATCACGAGGTTCATCGTCGTACCGCTTGCGTCCACGTGGCGGGGTTCTGCTTCGCCGACGAGGGCTGTAGCTTCTGCTCCGGCTTCGGTATCTCGCCATTAGCGCAAATTCTGAGCGAACTAGTCTAGGGAGACAGAGAAACCCTACGTGCGCCCGGGGCAAAATAGGATGCAGCCTCTACAAGCAAAATAAGCATAACTTCAGGAAACCGCTCAAATTTATATTAAAATTTATCAGTATGGACGAAATAAATTCGTTCGCGTTAAGACTAAAAGAGTGCTCGTTGAGGGCATATTTAAAATCATACTCATATAAATAACTTTTCAATAATAATTTATTAGACAAATATAGAATGCCCTTACTTTTACAGAGCCCTCCACAAATTACAAAATCTAAAATATATGCGTAGGCCCAGAAAAAAGTAATTGGGCCATTTGGATTTATGTAAAAATTTAGAATTTTAAATATAAAAATCGGATCATTGTCAATATTAATATATATAAAAAATATAAAAAGCTATAAAAAGTTAGATATATATATATGTAGTAACTGGTTTTTTGGCCCAAAAAAATGTAGTAACTGGTTTGAGTGTGAAATCCTCAAAGTCAAATCCAATGCGATAATTAAATTTTAATAATAATAATTTTGCCATCCATAAAATTTAAGTGAGTGGAGTCTAGAAATTAATTAAAAACAAGGCATTATTATAGTAAATTTCTTAATTCCGAATGTGGGACGGACTCCAATTTGACAAGGGCTGTGGCAACCTCTTTATTGGGCCTCCAGTTGGCCCGAAGTGTTGGGCCTGTGACTTGCAACCGCCCTTCCCGGCTGCGCACAAAAAAGAAAGCACGTGCACGAGTTGGTTCAAGTAGTAAGCGGTTTGGTACCGTTTAAGCGAGGTCTCGAGTTCGAGCCTCAATGTATGTAAAAATCCTCGTTGGAAGATTTACCCACCACAGCCATGTGCACAACATGAGTTGGATCCAAATGTAGTCGGAGCAAGGCGCCGGTGAACTGGGTGGACAGCCAAAAAAAAACACGTGGCACCCGCAGGCGTTGACTCACATCATAACGTTAACGTCCCAAAAACAGGCAATAAACAAACACCTAAATAATGATAGGGAGGAAAAAACGATACTATTTCGCGTTCTTCCTTTTCACTCTTTCTCTACTTCCTCGAACGAATTTGTGATAGATTCTAGGGTTTCATTTCGTTTTTCTGACGTCAATTTCTGTCCGCGTGCGAGAGACGTGGTACTTGAGAGTTTAATTGAATATGGAAGGAGCCAGCAATGGAGGTATGTTGTACCATGAGGTGCAAGAGTCGAAGCTCTGTGCGGTGCATTGTGTGAACACCGTGCTCCAGGGGCCTTTCTTCTCAGAATTCGATTTGGCGGCTTTGGCATCCGATCTAGATCACAAGGAGCGTCAGGTGATGGTTGAAGGTGGTGTCTCTTCGGGCGACTTCCTCTCCGAGGAGTCTCATAATGTGTCCTTGGTTGGTGATTTCAGTATCCAGGTTGGTTCGATTTCTTTTTCTTTCTTTTTAATTATTAGTTTGAAAACGGATTTTCCTTCATTCCTTTCCCCCTTTCACGGGACATAACTTTAAATATCGAAAAAACATTTTCGGGTTTAATTTATTTATTCTCGAATTGCATGCAAAAATGGTCATTTCTATATGCGTTATTCGAATGAAATGTCTCTTGTGAAATTCCCAAACTCTCTTCAGTTCTGATGACCTTAAGATTGCAGTTCAGCCATTGTAGACAAATCCTTTTGAGAAATCATTTTTCGTGCACCCTGTTCGGCATGGATGAGCTTTCACAGTGTTGATGAATTGTAGTCTGCTGATTGAATATTTCACTGGACTTATTATTATCGGACCGCGACTTGAAGATAACTACGTCTTCATGTGTAATTGCTTGTTCTAGTCAATTAATAGCAGTAGGATGGTTCGGTGACATGGTTTATCATGAATTATCATTGTGTGCATATATTTGTTATTTGTTACCCCAATAAGTCAATTACTTCATCTCTCGTTTCATCGTAATTGAATTTCAGACTGTGCCCGTGCCATGTTCTGTCAACTGGATTTCAGTAGATAGCCCAATATCATCCATGATTAATCAATGATTAATCTCATGCCAATATTTAAAAAAAAAAAAAAAAGGCTTTCTTTTCGACCTGATTGAGTAAGAAAAAGCATGTGCTTTATATTCAGAAGGGTCCTCTGTGATGTTTCTTTGGGACAGTTTCTAGTTGGTTTTTGTGCTTGCCCCAGTCATATATTAGCATGATCAGTGAAATTATAATCGAATATTGTTGATGCTGAAAATGAGGGGAGTTATTGAAAATTGACCTCTGATCTTCTGCCTTGCACTGTGCTTTTGTATTTTAAAGTTTCTCTATCTATGTAGAATTGTACCTAAACCTGATTCCTCTACTCCCTCTCCACACTGCCCTTCCATCTGGCCTTCCCTTTTTTGGCCTTACCCATTATGTTATTCATTTTTAAACATATTTCCCAGATAGAATAATTAAAACATTTATTAAAGCATAACCTTTTTAGAGATTGTTGAAAAGGATTCTCAAGGTTTATGATTCATTTCCAAGAATAAACATGTTTACTGTTTATATGGATCAGTAGATATTGCTTTCCAAAGCTAGTCATCACCCTCTCTTTCTGTGGTATGATTCATATGTTATATTAGAGGATTCATCTAGTTATTGACTTTTTTCTTGCTATTGTCTATTCATTGTTGGAGTAAAACCACTATCTTTGTCTTATGCTACCAACTGCAGTGTCTTTCTGCAACATTGGGAAATATGATTATCTTTAGTTGGTAAAATACTGATTCTACTCCAAATCTTCATCACTCCTTTCTACGCAGTTCAAGATTTGTCTAATTGTACAATCCCTTTCTTGTAGGTTTTACAGAAGGCCTTGGAAGTGTGGGATCTGCAGGTGATCCCTCTTGACTCTCCAATCGCTGAGCCTGCCCAGATTGATCCTGAAATGGAAAATGCTTTTATTTGTCATCTGCAAGACCATTGGTTTTGTATACGTAAAGTGAATGGGGAGTGGTATAATTTTGATAGTCTCTATGCAGCCCCACAACACCTATCTAAGTTTTACCTTTCAGCCTATCTTGACTCATTGAAAGGCTTTGGATGGAGCATATTCCTGGTGAGAGGAAACTTCCCAAAAGAGTTCCCCATATCCTCATCAGAAGCTTCTAATGGTTTTGGGCAGTGGTTGTCACCTGAAGATGCTGAGAGGATAACTAAATCCTGCAACTTGATGCAGGCTCCACCTCCGAACCAGAAAATTAACGATGGCCAACAACATTCTGATCAGTTTCTTTCATATGATGATGCAGAAGTGCTTTCAGACATGGAGGACGAGGATCTAAGGGCTGCAATAGCAGCTAGCCTGGTGGATTCTTCCTCAGCAGTGACATCTGCCGAAGCCAGTACTCCTTCGAATGATAATCAAAGTAGTCAACAAGTGGTAAATACTGGATCTAGCACCCCTTCAGATGATCGAGGCGACAAAAAAGCTGCAGTGACTGCTGAAGCTTCTGCCCCCCTAAAGGATCAAGGCAACGAACAAGCGGCAGAAACTGTAGCTGGTGCGCAACTAAAGGATCAAAATAATCAAGTTGCTTCCGCGCCAGGAGATACTTCTGGAGGTGAAAACCAAAAAACTCTGTGAGAATGTGCTCTTCTCCAAATTTGTCTTCACCATTGAAGACAATAATTTATGCCAGTTTAGGTGATGGAAACATGCATCATTGGGTTAAAGTCATGGTGCTATGCCCTTAATTTAAAGTGCTTGTTGCTTGAACTGAAAGGAAAACCTTGAAGCATTTCCATCTTATTATAGTAGTTGCCAGGTTTTGACAGTATTAATATGTATATGCGATATTCTTACTGCACAAAAGGTGTGGACTTTTGCATTATTTTTAAAAAAGAAAAAAAAAAAGTGAGGCGTGTACTTCTCAGCTAGGACAAATAGCGGAAGTTCTTCCAGATATAAATATTTTTCTCCATCTCTCTCTTTCCTTGATTTCTTTCTTCCTTTTTAATGTACTAAACGTAGTCTTGTTAGCTTAAGATTCGTGGTGCCGGCTAATAGCGTTTTGTAGTATAGCGGTATGAAAGTGTTTTGTTAGCAGAAGATCACGAGTCGACCTTATTTATAATTTGTAACGTCTATTAATACCTAATGGTTTTTTTTCAAAAAAAAAAAATCGTGGTATTGTATTTGTGCCTAAGAAATGCCAAGAGCCGGGACAGGAACAGCAAGAACGGACCATGCTATTGTACTATTATAATATTATTATTTTTTGGCCAGAATCTCTCTCAAATTATTTCAATTTCATATGCTAGGTACAATTAAAATCATTATTTTAAATTAATAATTAGTAATTATTTTCATCACTGTTATTCTTAGAATAAAATGTCGCATTTTTAGAAAAATAAAACAAAATAAAATATCATCCACAGTTAATTTTTTGACTGAATGTCTAGGCATAATACCCTTTCGGCAAGTCGGTTTAGGCCGGCGCCGGCGTGGCGAATAATACCATTTTTTTTTCCTCCTCTCAAATTCAAAGCTCTTGCTTTTCCGTCGTCTTTATCTCATCTTCATAGATACGTAGACACATAATTAAACAACTTTATTAATCAAATCAGGCCAGGTTAGGTTCTATATGGGGCTATGGGCTAAGAGATGGAAGATATTCTGCAAATTGGTTCCTGAAAATTGACCATGGACCTGCTCTGCCATGGTGAGTAACGCCTTGTGGTTTACGGGAAGTTTTTAGGTCAAAAGTTGCCATCAGTAGAAGATTTTCAATAAATTCTTTGAACAATGACATTATATGTTAAGTTAAACATTATAGTTTAAACATCAATTAGGATCCATTTAATTCTCTTCCATCCTAAATTTTGAACCACTCTCTTGGGAAAAAAAATCTTTTATAAGTTTCCGTAATTCAAAATAACAAGGTCTTGTTCACCAAAAAAATAAAAAGGTCTTGCGAATGTAATTTAAACATCACAGAAACATATATTTTCAAAGGAAATTGATTAACAACAAATTTAACTTGAATGAGGAAACCATTAAAACTGAACATTTCTTCCCATGTGGCTATGCGTAGCTTTTATCATTATTTTGGGGTGGTCAGAAGAGAATGAAAAGCAAGAGCAGCAGTATGCACTTTTAGGCTGGAAACGGAGACCAACAACTGCAGCTTTTTCATCGTCATTCTTGTAATTTATTATTCACTGTATTCAGGGGCCACAAGTTCAACAAAGGGAAACAAGGGAAGCTGAATACAACTATAAAAGCCTCTCGCCATACTTCACAACTTTTCTTTTCACTGTGGATCATCTCAAAGCTGCCTGCTTTTTGGTGAAAGAGATCCCTTACTGGATTCAAGAGTTTCTTCCCCAAATGGGTTCATCTGACACTGATCGATTGTTCAACAGGCAGAGAGCTCTTCATGAAATCCTCGGAGGTGGTCTGGGTAAGTCCAATCCCTTAGTTTTTCTTTGATTTCTCAGCTTTCTTGCTGATTTTTTCAACTTTTAGTCTATGGTTTCTTTCATCCTATATAAAAACTTGCTCTCTTCGTCTCAATGATATTCATGTTTACTCATTTCATTCCATCATTTTATTTCACCAATACTCATTGGAGGAAATGATGATAGAAAGGATTTGAGTGAATAAATAAATCATTGACCTCACCCCTGTTCTTGAACCATCGTCATTCATCAATACAGTTGCAGATATGATACTGTGGAGGCGAAAGAATCTAACTGTGGGGATATTGTTGGTTGCACTAGCTGCTTGGATCGTCTTTGAAAGATCTGGTTATACTCTTTTGTCGCTTGTTTCTAATGTTCTCCTCCTCCTTATAGTCATTCTTTATCTTTGGGCAAGGTCAGCGGCAATTCTCAATAGGTAATACTCTCCGTACTTATTTCTTTGAATGATATACTTGGATCTATCTTACCTTGTGTTCTCTTTTAACCTTGAAGTGTACAATTATTAGACATAACAAGGTAGTGGTATTGGAATGTTCAAATCTTTACAAACTATTGGTTCATCACTCTTAGTTCATTTTTTTATGAACTACAGTCGTTCCTACTCATTCTGGGCTTTTTTTGGGGGACTTATACGGCTATTGAGCTACTCCTTTTAAAGAACAATGCTGGTATAATTTTTGCAGTTGAAGTTTGAGTAGCATGTAAATCATAATTTGTAAATGTACTTGCTTAATTGTACATTATTAGTTATGGCAGTATTGTGAAGAATTGCTAGAAGCCTTAATGCTTTTTGCACAATGGTCATGTATGCCTGATCTTCATGTACATTGAGATTTATTTGCTTATTATTCCTGTTAACCGTATAATCTGGTGTGGGTCTTCAGAGCCGTCTTGTGATTTTCTTAGTTGATTAATGAAGTGTGATATATTGTTCCAGCTACACATTTTAGCCTTGTAAGAGACTTGGGTACCAGAATTTTAAATGTATTGCTGGGTATTTATGGGTGAATCTTCAAGTTATCACCTAATATAGTGGGGAAATTTAGCATTGTCTTCAGGATGATTGTCATTCAGTAGGGTAGAAGATGAAATGTTTTGGTCTTGCCTTATTATTTATTTACAGTTCATCCTGGTATTGTAAAGAATGATAGATACCTTGTTTAAGTCTAAAAACCAAAAGTCCTAAAACTATAGTTGTCCAGTCATAATACATTGTTCCCTGGGGCTAGTTAGCTTGGTGGAATATGCTTTTTCACTTGATAACTACTACCTCCGATCTTTAATATAAGAGCTAGTTTGACATTCAATTTGGTTCTTAATATAAGATCCCAATGTACTTCGTCTCTCATATTTATCTATTTTTTTCAAGGTAGTCCTTATAGTAGTTACACATGTTGAAGGTTTTATCAAATGGTAGTTTAGGGAAGACAATACATATTTATTACAAATAACTAATTTAATTAATTTTCTTAATCTATTCAAATTAGTTATCTAGTTCTTATATTAAATATCAAAGGTAGTATGTAGTTTTGACACTTTATAATACTTAGCTTGTATGGTTCCTAATCCTGCCTTGCCCTGTAGCTTGGATTCATAATGCTTCTTCTTCGTTCGTTCCATGGACAAAAACAAAGCTGCTAACAGAGTTGCTAAAACTTCGTCTCTGACAATGTTTTCCTATGGTTGGGTCTAAAATCTCCCCCATTCTCTTTGGCAGCCACTATATTTGTTCATATATAGTGGTTGATTTTGCTGCTTTGATGTCTCTGTCTGTTTTGCTTGTTGCTGGTTTTTCTCATTTCGGTTAAAATGAAGTTCTGCTTCCCAAAAGATTTTTGTTTTTTCTTTGGTCTTAGGCCACATTTAGCACAAAGGGAAGGAATAGAATGAAATAGGAGTGAAAAACGGTAAGTAGTTGTGATGTGAAATAATACTAATGTGCTTATTTCAAAATAAGTAATGAAAAAGAGATAAGGAATGTTGAGCGACGATAAAGAGAGTAGAATAAGCACTGCATAATTTTTCCCCCTTCCTCTCCCATTCTTTCTCTCTACCTGATACCAGACAAGACATTAAATCTTAATATTTTTCCGTCTATCACCAAATTTATGAAAGCAGTTTACTTTGTTTTTTTCTTTTGACAGACCAGCTCCACCTCTACCACAGCTGCATCTATCAGAGGAAATGGTAAATGAAGTTGCAACTTTCATCCGAACTAATGCAAATTACGTGCTTTCAGTTTCCCAGGATATTGCCCTGGGCAAGGATTCAAGATTGTTCTTGAAAGTAGCTGCATGCCTCTGGGTTATTTCTGTGGTTGGGGGCCTCACTGATTTTCTCACCCTCACATACGCTAGTAAGTCTCCAAGTGTCATTTGACAAGCTAGACTCGGTTTAGTCAGTCACCAGTTCTTAGAAACGAAGTTCCCAACCAGGAGAATGAAAAAAATCTTGGGTGCAGACTTTAGATATTTTCCATCAACTAATAATGTTTTACTGGAGGGTTTAATTACTGATATCTAGAGCACTTTTTACTTAAGTGTTGTTTTTTGGGAAAACTCTTGAGTATGGCCTGTTTATTAAAGATATGTGTATCAAATCAATCTGACGAGTCTATTAAAATCTCTCTCATCAAGGCTATGAAAATGAATCTTTTGTGTTTTTGTTATGTGGCAGGTCTCTTTATTATCCTCACTGTGCCAGCATTTTATGAAAGATATGAAAATTTCATTGACAAATATATCTTGATGGGCTATCGGAAATCAGTCCAATTGTATGTGAAACTAAATGAATATATCAGCAAAGTGCAAAACTGGGTTTTGGAGAAGAAAAAGCTGAGCTGATTTTTCTTGCCATTTTGGCAGCTTCATTCCATTCTTTTCCTATGGTGAGAGCGTAATTGCAGTGTGGAGCATGATGGTGACTACCCAGCACCTAGTTGTAGAGAAGTGATTTTTGAATTTTCCATCTGATAGGTTTTACCGAGAAAAGATATAGGTGAGAGAGCTTGGGACTACCCACAAACAGTTCTGGCAATGTGTTGTTTGTAATTGCAGGTATAGATTTATTCTTGTAATATATTTGCCTCATTCACAACTGAACCTTAATTTTCTCCATGAAGTTGTTTGTAGGGTTGATGGCAATCGTAATGTTGTATGATTTTTTTTGCTTGGCAAATAGAGATGGCATCTTCTTTTGCCAACTTGAAAACGATCTCACTGCTCGTTGCTTTGGACACTAAGACCAAACCTAGGTAGGACAAACTAAAATCAGACGGTTCAAATTCAATATTTCTTAATTTTTATATTTTTTATCATTTGTAGTTTTAATGACAAAGTACAAAATAAAGATAATCTTCTATAATTTTTTTAAAAAATGATTATATTATTTAAAATTTATAAATTAAAAATTTTAAATTTGAATCATTTAGCAATCTAGATCATGATACTTGTCATTGTGATAAGCATTAAAATCAAGTTTTCCAACTTGTTAGATTTATTTTTGAGAAAATCTCAAAAAATCTTTAGATTTCAAAATTCCATATCAGCCTTATTTACTACATTTTAATAACAATTGATAATATTTGAAAATTAAATGATGACATATTGTGGTCATTCCTAATTTGAGATTTTAAAATTTTAAAAGCAGTTTTTTTTCTTTATTTTTTTGGAAATATTAGTATCAAAGTAAAATTATAAATTTATTATGATAACAGGAGAAATTGTGTTATTTAGATCATTAATACAATGATTGTTTTAATTCACTATAATTCGTCCACCCCACTAAAAGAAACTAGACTATTTGGTTGCTACGTGCTTCATAGTTTTAGAAGAATGTTTGGATAAAAATCAAATTATAATTTTAAAAATAATTTTACAATATATGAAGTATTAACGTGAAAAGAGTTCTACCTCAACTTGCATAAAAACACTTTTCAAAAATACTTTTTAACCCCAACCAAACACCCCTAAGTATAATAATATTACTTATATGAGACCACTTTTTAAAAATGATTTTACCCCAACCAAACACCCCCAGGTATAATAATACCATTCCTCGCATCGACCATTACTATGCTAAACCAAAAAGGCCGCATATTTCATTTCACAAAACTCCCCTCATGCTCAACATCACCAGACGAGCTTGAGGGGGTGAAAAGTCACAGGATCTGAGGAGATATTTGTACTAATTTTTACTGGAGATATCTCAGGACAGAACTTACAAACACGAGATTCAAATATAAATGAATCATTTCGCGGCCAGTAGATAATAATTACTATTGATTATGCATAAAATAAAACTTGCAGATTTAAAAATGAATAAAATATTGCATAAACTAAATAATTATATATTGCATATTTCGTTTTTCAGTCTTGAACACAAAATTCATTACCAATGGGCGCATGAACGATTACTAGATAACACCAATAAGAACGAAGGACTCGTGGGCTAGGACTCGTGACCCGGAGCCCACTAGTCCTGACCACCAAAGGTTTCACGATTGTCATGCTGCCAACCATAACCATGTCCATTATGCCCGAACTCACCAGAATAATATTTCTGGTTCAGATGGGACATGGGCGGCAATGGTGGTGGAGGAGGAGGTGGGAGGGGCATGGAATGTGGTGCCAACATTCCTTTAGCGTCTCGTGGATCCATAGCCATACCACTGTGCCCTTGTTCAAAAGGTAGGCCCCCAGCTCCTGCATTCAAGGGCTGGGGATAATTTGCTGGAAAATTAGTGCCAGCTGCAGCACCCGGCGGAAAACCAAGTAAGGAACTCTGGTCTCCACCTCCTTCAGAAGCTGAGTCCTGCCGGCGCATATCATACGGGTTCACATAAAATGGCGGAGCTCCCTCATGTGGCGGGTAAGGAGGATAACCAAATGGCACTGGAGGATTCAACATTGGGTTAGCATTAACTGGCACTGCGAAATTGGGTGTCTGGGACGAATGCATGGGTGGATAATCAGGGAGTGGTGTCTCCGGTGTGACTCCTCGATGCCTGTCTGGAAACTGGGAAGGTTCTTGCAGAGGTCGCTGCATATCAGAACTTTGTTGATAGAAGCCCTGGGGAATACCTCCATTAGAGCCAGACTGGAGATCTGCAGAGTGATTTTGAACTTGACCAAAAGATGGTGGCTTTGGCTGCAGAGTCGGCCTTGAAGGTGGTTGATCTCTTGGTGGTTGTTGACCCGCCTTGTCTTCTCGATCAGGTAGCTGGGAATTTGAACCAGGAGAGAAAACAGGCCTTTGGGGAGCTCGAGCAGAAGCATCTGACATTGCAGATTGCCGAACACTATTTGTCTCTGACTCATTTCCATCTTCTTTATCTACATTGGGCCGGAGAAGGTCAGCATGTACATCTTGGATATGCATTTCAAATTCTGACTTCTTCAAGAAAGACTTGAAACAGTGAGGAGCTGCACAGATGAATATTCCTTCTAACATTTTGATTGTCTGAATTTTCTGGATTCGTTCATCACACCTGTGTTCCAAGGAAGATGAAAGTAATCCACCGATTACATCCCGTCAACTTCTATCTACAGAATTACAATAGAAGCTATGGAAAAGTAAAATAGTAAATAGTAAAACGAACGAAGAAACAAATCACCACTAGAATATGCACATTTTAATATTTCTAGTCTCTATTTTTGCAACTAGTGAAGGTAATAAGTTTTGATCATGCTGTCTGAAATAATAATTTATAATATATTAGACATCACATCGGTTTTTGTCCAAGACTGAATAAAATTCTTTGTCAGACATCCAAAATCCTTTCTTCCCTCCTGCTCAGTGTAACCCCCTTTAAAACAGAACATCTCTCAAGCTGAGCAAAACTTCAAGTTGGCATAATGTGTCAATTTCAAGCTTGAAAGGGAATCAGTTAGGTCGGAAAATAAGACATCAGGCCACCTAAATTAGCAACTTACCATACATAAGACACCAGAGCAAAATCCAATATCAATCCAAAGAAGGGGTCAAAAAAGAAACAAAAAGGGCAGAATTGGCAGATGCTCACTGCTTTACTCTAGGAAGAACAGAAGATAAGAAAGATCCTTACAGGTAGCATATTGAATCGCTCCTAGCACAATCAAGACAGAAGGCATGCTCACAAGGGCTCTGCAAAACCACAAGCCCGTTAGTTTACATAAAACCCACATCAAGTGACAAAATGATTTAAGAAAAACAAGTCATATCAATTCGTGCCATATCAACCAAATTTCATTGCAAAAGTAGAAATCGTCAAAGAGTTATCTTAAAAAACTCAACAAAATAAATACCAAGGTTTGGAACAGGAATATGTTGTTTCAATGATATTAAGCTTGTATATTCCATAAACAGGTAAGTACAGAAGAGAATACAGTTAAATAGTTTTGCATGAAATTTTCCGTTGTAGGATTACAACAAAATAAGCACATGAATGAGAACCAAGCTACAACTCAAAACACAGAATTGAAGTATTTTATACAAGTTTTCCATTCAGATTACTAATGAAGGAGATTTATATTTAAAATAGCAATTTTCCATAGAGTTTATGGATCACTCAAATGACTGGTCCATTTCTGATATGCCTTTTTCAGATATTTTTAAGGGTAAATTGGGCACAAGTAAGAATGAATTGTTCAGGGAAACATAAAGAAGTCTGACAAAGAGAAAGACAGAAGCCCAATAAAAACATTGGAAGAGGACGAAATATTTCAATGGTTACCAGCCGTCCATAGATTGCAATTGGGAAGTCACAACGAACACAGAAGTGGACACAATCACCACATTGGCGGCGAGATCTACGTCCAAGAGTCTTCACCAGTGAAGTAGCAGTTGCTGAACCTATGCCCTTCGCTACAGGAAGATCAGCAAGAACAAGATGATCGGGACAAGTAACTGTAACAGTCTCGACAGGCGAGGGTTTCACCCCTGCTAAACCTTCAGAAGCGGGAACCTTGCTAAGCCGAATCTGAAGCATGGTGGACCAAAAACTTCCCTGAACTCTCAAACTCCTTTAAATCAAACAATCAGCAATTCAGTACTTCAAATTGTATTTATGACCACGGCAACAGATGCTCCCTACTATAAATAAAGCAGAAGGAAACACAGAATAAAAATAAGTAATGGAGACAAGAAAATGAGTGACCATTTATGCTCAGGCACTAATCATTAATCAAACAACAACAAGAAGAACAAAAGCCTTATCCCACCAAGTGCGGTTGGCTACATGTGCTCTGTCCAAGACAAATTCTTCTAATGTTAAAAATAACGATAACAACTTAATCACTATTTAAGAATCAATTTAACAAAAACTTACAGAAGGATTACACTATTAAGGACCAAATATACTTCCTCCGGTCCTAAATATAGGACCTGAGGAATTTATTTTGGTCCTCATCATCCACCCAAAGAGTTTCCCTCGAAACCCAAATTAAACAGAGAGCAAATCAATAAAAGCAAAGCAATGAAATATCAACGTCAGAGACGTATAGGAAATCATAACGCAGATGCATTTGAGCACCACTCCAGAATAAAACCGAAGATGAACGAGAACAACTCTTAACTGTAAAAATTTAAAATTTTAGGTCATGAGAACTAGAAAACAAGCCGATGAAGCGTTAATTTTTCGGATTGCAGATTGAAGAATAAGAGTTGAAGCCCTAGCATAAAAGGGGAGCGATAAATTTTCAGAATTGCAGATTGGACGGTAAGAGTTGAAGAAACTAACTAGGAGCACAGTGAGAGGCACAGCGGCTTCACCCACGAGCTTGAAGTCTCAGCTTTTTCATTGCAAAGCCATTCGGTCACCGTGGGGCAAAGCTTTCCGCCTGCGAATGCCCGCCGAAGTCCGGTGATTTCATATGTTCTCGTTGTTATATTTTTAACTGAATTTATTATATTTTCATTTAAAAAAATATATGTTATATTTTGTTTATTGCAATAAAATTATAATGTGTTTATAAATTTTGAAGAGAAAATAAATCAGGGAATATAATTGCTAAAAAAAACGTATATACTTAAAGTGTTTCTTTCTAATTAAATCAAGATATGTGAATATTTTTATATATTATTTATTTTATAATAAATTTCTGTTAGTAATATCATTAAAATTTTAAAATCCACTTATTTTGATTTAATTGGGTTTTTTTGTTAAAGATACAAGAGAGCAGGCTCGAATCCACATACACACACCCAACACACATCACACCACTTGGGCAAGAGGCCAGTGGTTAATTGGGTTTTTTTTTATATAACAAAAGCATCAACACAAACTAAATACTCGTAGAAACTCTACTATCAGAATAAATATTAATTGTTGCTGAAGTAATTGAATAAATGTATATTAAATATATAAGATTAAATACACAAGTGTTCTCTGTTGCTAAAATGATTCTTTTGTGTTTATTTGCCAAAAAAAATTAATATATTTCTTGATAACAATCATTTATCATGCTAACTGAAAAATATAATAATAAAAATATAAAAATGTACATAAATGTAATAAGATTAAGTGTATTGTTCATATAATTTTATTGTAAATTTTTTAAAAAAGTTTTTTTTTTGGGGGGCTCTACAACCTTTTTAAACGTTGTTCTTCAAAGTATAACAATATAATCTTTTCTTCGTACAACTATGTATCATTCATTATTATATTTGTATATTCTTAAGTCTAATTAAAATCATCACTAAAACGCAGCTGACAACCTCTCAGACGTAAAACGTGGGGCAAGATGAAGCAAGCTTCAACAAGCAATAAATCTGACTGGGAGCTGTATAGCCATATTGAACAGCCTATCAATACTGTTGTTTTTGTTCAACGATATCCCCTATTTCAGAAAATGAGGGGAAGAGGATATATTATTTTCTCAACAGATTGCATTGCATTTGCAGACAATGCCCAGTAATCGTCCTACTGGTATTTGCATGAACTCAGGATGACTCTATACTTCTGACGACCTTTTTAGCCTGTCATGAGAGGAGCGTATGAGTCAGCATGCAAGCATGTAAAATATAATGCTAAATAATTCCATAACCAGAACTAAGATTACCCGACAGCAATATTGAATAACTAGTTGAAATAAGTCCATCAACACCACAGTTAGAATGATAACCGAAGTGAAATTTATTAATCAATTGAAAAACATCATCATATCGTGTGTCCTTTCCTCTTAATAGGCTAAGTATGCGCCCTACCTGTTCTAAGGTTAGAAACATGATCACATTCCAGGATCCCAGCCGTCCAAAATTTGGGATGAACCCCTTATAGAAGGCAAAAGGTCCCTGCACAACAATAGATTCCATAACCTATATCAGATCAGATTAATGATATCCAAATACACAATAACAAGGCTGGTCCTTGAGTAACGAAATACAAAGCTTGTGCATATGGCTAAATGCTGTCAGGCATTGTCTTATGGATTGACATATAGAAGGTGTTTATCACAAAAGCAAAGCGGGACCAACTTCACGGTGCTCAAAAAAAGAGGAACGTTGTATCTGTAAAAGGCAAGTCATACGTCGTTCTTCAAAGTTTTCACGAAACAATCAAGAGTGCTCTTGTAAGTAGAATCTCCCATCATCCTGGATTTAACCTGCATATGCACCAAAAGGAATATGAATTACTGGACTAATAGGGTTCCACAAGCACAAGGCTCTTGAATTTTTATCAACCAAATGAGGAAAGAATGAAAAAGGGAAACTTTGTGGCAAGTCCGCAAAATGAGAATTTGGATTCAATGGGAGATGGTAAAAATCCATTTTATCCAACTATTTGAAAGTCAGTTCACCTTAGATGTCCATTCCTTTATTTTGTTTGTTGCATGTCCAGAAGGTTTCTAAGTGATATCTAGCTAATTTTTCTTTCTCTAAATTTTGCAGCCATTTTTATCTAATCATAAAAGATTTACTTAATAAATATTTTTAATAAATATGCAATTAAAACTCAAAATACAGAGACTCTTATTGCCTCTTGTTGAACCCAAATCCTAAAATAGACATCAGAAATATCACCCAGAGACAAGCAATACTTATTAAGCTCCAAAAATAGCTAAAATTTATAATTAGAGTTAACAAATCAGCAATAAATATTCATGGGTGGAAATGATAAATTACCACATCAACTGGAGAGCCAATACAGACAGCGAAAAACCCTGCCCCTAGACCAGCAAGGAGATGAGTTACAACATTGTCGGTAAAACCTGGGATTTTCAAAATGCTCTGCAGCAAAGTCAGTCTAATCAGATATAGAAATATGTTAAAAATAAGAAGGGATGAAACATAAAAAGAAGAGTTTGATCCAAAAAAGCAAAATGATTCAACTATCTTTTTCATCACCTGTTTCACTTGATCATAGCTGGCTAGTTCAGCAGCGTTGATGATAGCATTTCTTGCTATATTGGGGCCAATCCCTGTCCAAAGAGCTCCAACTCCTTCCTGTGTGTTGTATATCGGTTTATGAACTACAAAGGAATCATCAGTGATATCAAGTTATAACCACACACCTGTCTCACAATCGTAGAATACGCATTCAGTGATCCAGAGTAGCGCCTTGGTACACCAGGAGGTAATTTTCCTTCAGCCTGAAGTCGAACTTTCACAAGATCAGTTGGATTAGCTATGGTAATTCCCACAGCACCTGTTCATGTGGCAAATGAAAAGGGAAAGAGAACTCAATTAGGGTTATTGGCACGATAAAAATGTCCATTCCTGCCAACAGAAGAGAAATTCTTGTATACTCTTAAAATGCAACACCATTCGTTTTCACTTCAATAAAAAGAGTTCAAATCAAACAAAATGAAACTCATTTGCTAATAAAATATTAGATAATACTGTACGAAGCTCACTCTATTATCTATCCAAATTACTACATAAACAGAGCATTTTGTTTGATGTAATTTTTTCCATTGAAGATGACCCTCTCAGAATACTTACAATTCCTTGCCAAGAAAGAAAGGAAAAGAAAAAATGACGAGCATGCGTATTCTTGACAAGAGAATGCCAGCAATTCAAAGATAAGCAAACAAATTCGTTTATATTCCCATAGAACCTAGAATTGGGCCTTACCAGTTGTAAGGGCAGCAAGAATTTTCTTTGATAATGGAACATCTCCAACAAAGTCACTTCCCACGTAGAAATTCTTAACCTTTAAAAAAAAAAAAAAAATCCCTCGTGGACAATCAGATGCCATAAACAAACATGAACAATAATTCATTTTAGCACCAGAAATTCAGAACTCACAGGCTCATATAACCCAATTCTTAACCCTCCAAACAAACACTGACGATGTAGTCCTGGCACAATGCCCTTCCACAGTGCTGAAGCACCTTCTTCCCTTGCAATGGTCGCAACTGTCCCAAGCAAGCCCTTATATTTAGGTAAGGTCACTGCGTCACCAGCTATAGCTTGTTTTTGAAGCTGGAGCCTAACTTTGGCGGTGTCTAAAGGGATAGTGCATGCCTATTTTAAATTTTATAAAATACCTTAATAAATTTGAGCAACAGGATTCTGAATGAACAACAGAAGTACAAATGAGAGCAACATCAATCTCCACAGAAAAGCACTATGGACAATTTCCGCATATTTTATCAAGGAAAGTGCTGCATAGACCTTTGTAATACTATGCAAGAGGAAATAACTGTTTCATTTAGCCTTGACAAACAAACAGCCACAGGAAGTTGAGTACGAGTTTATATTGTAGCATTTCTAATTCGAATCTTCTAAGATCAAAGTGTCTTTGAAGTGGAATAGACGATGATACAAAAGAGCGAGAATGTTTATGAGATTCACTTCGTATATTTCACCCAATCTCTCTTTTCTTTCTCTCTCTCACAGCAGAAGAGCTTATAACTTTGGAAAATCCAAATCTGTTGAAGTACTGAACATGGTTGGACCTTTCCATATTTGGATGAATTATGAATTTGAAATAGCTGAAAATGTGAATGAATTTTATGAGACAGTGTAGGAAAAAGTAACACACAAAAGTTGGATCACTGAGCAACTGGAAATTTACGGAGCAAACAAGAAGGGAGTGGCATTAGCATTTAGAACCATACACTTATCATTCACACAATTGCTACAAAAAATAAACAAATAAAAAGAAGCGATGGATTTAGCAGGCGATCATCACGAAGCTTCCCAGAAAAAGGAGCGTCCAGGCAGCAGATACTCAAGAAAGAGCAATAGCCATGAAAAATTGAACTACCTCGGCGAAACATGCTGCGAAAGCACTGCTGACGAAGGTGCCGGCGAAGGAGATATTTGATTTGGACTTGCCATCAGCCACCATGGCTTCTCAGAGTTGAGAACTGATAAGGTTACAGGGCGATGAGTACTAAAGTGGCGAGAAAAACAAAGAAGGAATCAAAACCAAGAGGAAGAATGGAACATATTCTCCATAGACATTATTGAGAGAGAGCACAAGACGAAAGAAAAATGACTTCAGACTAAGAAGGCAATTAACATGATGACGAAAAAACAAAGGGGGTTTTGGCGCAAATTGGCATCTCTCGCGAAATGATTTGAGTCAAAACCGAAGGCTGCGCAATGGGGGTCCCTCCCTCTGGCGGCCTGGCCCATTTTTAAATATATGAAGCTCGTGGCCTGCGTATGAATTTGGCATTTCACCGTCTGAGTAGTCAGTGAGACGGTGGGCCTATCATAATTATATTAGGGGGCATTAATAACGGATTTTATTTTTGATAGAGATCAGAATAAATATTAAAAAAAATACTTTTCAGTAAGTCGAACCTAATTTGTTTATCATATTTACTTCATACAACATATAAGTTATACTTAATAATGATAATGGTTAGATAATATTTATGGGAAATTAAATATTTTTTAAAATTATACCATTTCAGCTGCCCCATTAGCTCTTTTTTTTTTTTTTTGAGTGATTAGGAAAAAAAAAGGTGATGGGACAAAAGGATTTGGAATTGAGAAGCCCCCTTGAAAGGAGCGCGAAGAAAAAGGGATGGTGAGAAGTAGGAACGCATTTTCCCTTGCGTCCACTTCCTTGAGTCCTTTGAAAGCAAACCTGGTCATTAGAGAAATGACTTGGCGTCTTACGTGTCAACAATTTAAAGGTGCAAATTAAATCACTCATCAATGCTGAGAGGCTTGTGATTTACCTTCAATGCTAGGTATAAAAGTCAGGCAAGAGATTGCTGGTCAAAAAAAAAGTCAGGCAAGAGATTTATTTTGATCCCTCAAAAAATAAAATAATACAAATTTTTATTAAATTATAGAGATAAATATTTTGAATGAAAAAAAATTTTGAGAAACTAAAATATATGATATAAGAAGGACCAAAACTAAAATGAAGACAAATTTAATAAACCAAAAATTATACTCCTCTGGTCCTTAATAGAAGACTTATTTAACTAATTTGATTAGATTAAGAAAGTTAGGTAAGTTGATTAATTAAAAAAAATATGACATAGTTTTTCTAAAATACCATAATCATCTTTCCTAATATCCTCTCTTCCTTACTTGATTATAGTTGAGAGAATACTCATAAGGGTAATTTAGGAAAAATTGATAAATATGAGAAACAAGTCTTATATTTAAAACCAAACTTAACTTAACAATTAGGCCCTATATTAAGAACTAAAAAAGTATTAACTTTAGACCTCAATTCATTTTACCTCTTAAATTTATAATATTTTGCTCAAAACATGTCTATTATACATGTTGAGGAGTCTTCCAAACAAGAAATAATTGCAATGCATATGATTAAATAGAATAATTTAGAGAAATCAAGACACATTTGTTATAAATAACTAACTTAACTAATTTTCTAAATATTCACAAATTAATTATTTAGCTCTTATATTAAGGCTCGAAAGCATTAGTTAAAGTTCATATCCTCTAATCCGCGGCTTCAAATAATGATGGCTTGTGGTGGGTCAACAGTATTATTTTAAAATAACAAATGGTTTATTTAAAATAGTTTATGCAAAAAAAAATTATTGTAATTTACGAAACATGAGATAAGTATGTGAAAAGAATTGTTTTGACTTACACGAACATGCTTAAAGGTGCTTATAGTCCACAACTCCAAGCAAGTCCAAGGCCTATTTAAACAAATGAAGATGGTTTTTGATGATTGGCATGCTAAAGGAGCTGAGTGGCACAATAACCATGGAGAATTAGAGACTTATAGGCAACTTCCTTCAGCAACAGAACAACCTTGAGAAGCGGATCATAGAAAACACACTGCATATTCTTTAGATGATGAAATTACGTAGGGAATGTGGGTTAGTGATATTCAACAAGGGTTTTGTGAGGCTTCTATCCAAAACACGCAAATATCTGAAGATTAGCACTTTGTTTAAGAGACAACCAAGTAATAGGTAGTGAAATAGTTGTCTCTCCCAAATTGAGGCTACTCATGTTGTTACTTTCAGTTTTTGCTTTTACTTTTTAAGTAAGATTCAGCTTAGCATTTGCAGTATTATTTTCAGGTTTATTTTCTCAAGTAGCTTAATTAAGTTCACTTGCCAAGGCATTAACATGTGAAGTCTCATGTAGTTCTTTCATGGTCTTATGATCAGGCTTTATAGCTCAGGAATTTTATTCTAGTAGCTTTTCAACAGATACAACATGACACAATATGTTAGAGCCATCATTAGAATGCAGGATTTTAATAAGACTTGACTTGTCTAATAGCCTTATAAATTCAAATGTTTAATCGTGAGGCTTTTGAGTTTTGTCTTCCTTTGTACTTTTTTTGGGGGGGGGTGTGGGGGAGGCAAATGACATTAATTACAATTAAAACCATTTAAGAACCTTATCAAAATATTAATTATATTTAAGGATTATAAGTTTTGTAATTTTCAGAAAAAGATCAAGGTCTTTGGTTGGAATTTAAAAAATAGAAGTTGTTTTTCTTCAATACTCATTTGTTTTTATTTTGTAATATTTATCTTTAATATCTCCAATACTTAAGAATGATATTTTAATAGTGAATTTAAGTATAATGATTTTAACAAGAAATTGAAATTTTGAAGTAATCATCCGCTTTTTAATATAAAACCTATTTAACTAATTTGATTAGATTAAAAAAGTTAAGTAGGTTAGTTAATTATAAAAAATATGACATATTTTTTCTAAAATATCATAATCATTTTTCTTGATATTTTTTCTCTTTCACTTACTTGATTATGATTTACGCAGTATCAATAGGAGTAATTTGAAAAAAATTAATAACTATGAGAAATAGGCGTTATATTTAAGATCAAAATTTACTTAACAATTAGGTTTTATAGTAAGGACCATATGATTATCTAACCAAGCTGTATGTTTTGCATAGATAAGCACATCACTTCATCCATCTATATCCAGATAAATACCAAATTCAAATTTTATTTGAAAGTGTAAAAAAACTACAATATTGTTTTAGTCTTTCACGCGCCTTGGTAACCAATTTTAGATGGATTGGCATGAATCATATTTATTCAACATTATGATCGCATATAACTGTGTAAAAAAATTACATATAATTAATATATTATATTTCTCACCCCAAAAAAAAAAAAGTTGTCATGGCACCAAGGCAAATTGGTTTTATGGTGGTATCAAGGTTGATGAAATATTTATTGATCGACATTCATGTGAACCCAAACATTACACAAGGCAAATTGGTCGTCCAAACTGTGATTTCCCACCTTAGTTCCTCTGGGTTTTCAACACTTTTCCAAATGCACACTTATATAATAATAAAATTGAAAATGGGATGTGAGGACCTTGTTGGTAGGTAATATGTAAATACCTCTGTAAACGCTCTCTGAGCCTAGAGGCATACTCTGACCCTGATAAATTCCTAGGACCCAACTTACCTAAAACTTTAGTATACCAAAAAAAAAAAATTGAAAATGGGATAAAACGATCAGAATTATAAGATGGTTTAACCTAAAGATAATATGTATAACAAGGCTGCTCTAAGCTGATACAACAAAACTGGAGGGTAGTTTGGATTTTTGGAGTGAATCAACAACTGTGTTTGTGATGGTGCAAGTTTCAGCTATACCTCTTCTTGGTTTCACTGTAAAGAACCACGCCAATCACAGTGAGAGCATAGCCCATCATTCCTACAATTGAAATTGGATTCTTAAATACTAATATTGATACCACCACGGCCACCGCCCCCTTTGCATTTCCTAAAACCTGCCAATAACATATCAAACAAGATTACACTCACAGGGACAAGATATAACAGTAATTTTTGGGAAAATTCTGCTGAATGATCAAAATTTCCCATAATTTTTTTTAGTTCTTGAGATTTGAATGATTGGTGACACACACACCTGAAGAGTCAGAGCACTGGTATATTTGGTGACCAAGAAATTGGTCAAGTTGACAAAATAAGCGAGGGAAGAACTGAAGAGCAGAAGCCACACGATTCTGATGTCGTTTCTAGCCAAATTCATTGTGATCCAAATCACATCTTGCTCCATTAATAGTGCTGCTGGAAGCAAAACCAGCATTGCCACTGGTGCCATGTACATCAGCAGATTCATGGAATTCAGCTTTTCCCTGAATTTATCAGAACAAGACCTTATATAATATATTTCTGGTACTGCTTCAGTTTCTCGAACAAAACAGAGGAGATCAAAGGGAAGATGCCTACCCCTCTGAAGATAACAAAACGCCTTGAAGCACTGATTTAAATGCTCTTGCAGAAGTTGCCGAAACACATATCAGAAATCCAAAAAGATGAAAACTTGGTTCTCCCTACAGCAAAGTGAGAAGGATTTGACAAAACTCAATATGACTTGTAATGGAATGATTCAAAATCCAAAAGAAGGATGAAAATTTTATTACCCCAGTGGCTATGACGACCCCTGCAACGACAGGCACGAGAGTGGCGTAAGTAACCCAAGCTTCCCTTTTCCTGTCCACCAGATAAGCAAAAACAGCTGTGAAAAAGGGAGTGGTTGCTCCAATAGCCTGATTAAACGACACCGGGATGTACTTGAGCGAGATGTTTCCGCAGACGACGGAGAAGCAGAAAACGACACTCAGCCCACAAATTTTCACCATCTGGTTCGTCGATTTTATGCTCTGAAACGGGACAACGTTAATCACGTAAACAGCAACATAGCTGAAGAACGAGCACGCCGTCATGTGGCACAGAGTGAGGAAAACAGGGTACGCGAACCCGTAATTGCTGAGCAAGTATTTGTTCAAAAGAAGGACGCCAATGTTTGAACCGTACCAAGATATCACTGCCCCAATCGTTGGCCATGGAATCTCGCTGGACATCTCCATCTGGGTCATTTCAAGTTTCTATCTTTCTAATATGGGAGTTCCTCAGATGAGGTACAAAAATATATTTGAAGTTTCGAAATTGAATGTGACAACGCAATTAATGGTTAGAACTGAGGACAGAGAAGAAGCTATCTTATTTTTTTCCCCTTACTGGGAATTCCTCAGAGGAGAGAAGAAGAGGAAGAAGAAGGTGTAAAAGCAAAGTAATGGTGAGAAGTTATGGCTGAGAGCGAGTGATTGCAAATGAATGGAAAGAAGAGGAGGAAATCGGTCACAGAGATGTGAAAATTTGTGGGTCAGCCATAATTTCAGAGATCGGAATTGGATGCAAAACAAGCATTTATTCGATGCACGTTTTTGAGCTAGCGAGGATTATTTTCAGACATGGGGATGTAGTTATCATATAGTTTCTCGAGAGGAGCGGAGAAGGGGGGAAGAGAGATAGAAAATGTCGCAGGTTTTTATAACGTGACAGCAAAATTCTCTGTTGAGACGTTATCATTTATCAAGCTGATACGAACATAGTGGGCACGGAAAACTGAAGTATACGGTGTTTTTAATGTATCATGTGCATTTCTTCAAGGTGACAAAATTGACAATTAAAATATGCTATTTTAATATTCATGAATCGGCCAGTAGCAAACTCAAGATCTCAGAGGAACGGCCGAATAGATATATAAGTTCTTAGATAAAAATTATTGATATCTTAACTACTTGAGAGTTGAGATTGTGTACATTGAAAAAGGTCCAACCTAGAAATACATTTCCATTAACTTGTGTAGTGTTGCTTAATCAATGGAAAGATTTGAGAGGAGTAGAAAAGGTTTCAGCCAATAGGACACTCAAAAGATTTGAGAGGAGTAGAAAGGATTTCAGCTAAAAAATTATTGAAATCTTTAAGTCAGCACCAAGTTATTGAGAGTTGAGGCTATGTATATTTGTGGCTTGGGTTCCAAGCAAGAAAAGGGCCAATCCTAGAACTCACGTTGAAATAGTACAGTTAAGTTAACTTGGCAGTGTTACGGTTAAGCAAGAGGAAAGGATAAAGAGGGAGGCTAATCAGATGTGTCCGACATAGAAGGTAGACAAAGGAATGGCCGGCCTGGGCATGATCACAAGGGACGACTCTTAACCCTTTGCATTTGGCTGCCGGCAGCCTACCCAAAGCTGCTTTTCCTTTGTCCATTCACCAGAAACAAAATTATATACTCTTGTAGGTTAGTAGTGAAATTTATTTGGATCTTATCTATAAGATGCCAGTCTTTTTTATCTTCCTTTTTAACTAATTTATTTTAAAACATCCTTATTTATTATGCAATTTTTTAGCTGTAAAATACTAGACTGAATTAATGGGAGGGATATTTAAGAAAAAATTTATCATAAAAAATTGATAAATTAATCACAATTAACTAACTTAATTGACTTTCTTAATTATGTGAATCAATTGACTCATATACATTTAAAATCATAACAGATATGATACATATTCCCTCTGTTTTAAATATTAGGCACTGTTTATAAAATCCTATCTTTCAATATATCAAATATTTTATACAATTGTACATGTAACTAATATTTTTTACCTGAAATATTTCTAAAAGTATCTCAAAATTATTTTCTTTTTATGTTATCTTTCACTCATGAAAATGAACTCATGCATTTATTATATTCACAAAAGATTGAACTAGTAACATGTTATTTAAGTCAAGACAGGTGCTTGATATCAGTTGAACCGAACAGTCCTAACACATATCAAAATTACTTACCTCTGACCTAACAAATAATTAATAGTTCATAATACTTCTTCGTTCTTTAATATAAGACCTAATTGTTGAGTTAATTTTGGTCCTAAATATAAGACCTATTTCTCATATTTATTAGTTTTTTCTAAATTACCGTTATAAATACTCTCACAGCCATAATCAAATAGAAGAGAGAAAGTGCATATTAAGGAAGATGATTATGGTGTTTTAGAAAAAACATGTTATATTTTTTACAATTAACTAACTTACCTAACTTTCTTAATCTAATCAAATTAGTTAAATAGGTCTTATATTAAGACTGAAAGAATATTAAAGAAAGTTAAAATAAAAAAAACAATTGAAATCTTTAGCTATCAAATTATTTTTTCTTAATTCATGTGTTTTAGGAGGGAGAGTACAATGAATTGTATCCATCAAACAACCATAGGCTAATTATTATTCTCCCTGACTTATTCCTGCATTAGAATAAAACATTATTTTGACGCATATGTTTTTTTTCTTGCTATTATATGTGACGATTCATACAATGCATGATGATGGCCATGAATTAAATCTTTTATATGTAGTTTCCTTTAGGTAAGTGATTTCATTCATGGAAATCATCATGCATTGTATGAATATATAGTCATATCTAAATGACAAGAAAAACACATACGTCAAAATAATGTTTTATTTTAACAAGAAAAACATACAAAAGCAGTTTCCTGTAAGCTTTTAAGAATCAAAATTTTCAATAGTTGAGGATGTTCATGGACAAGCTCGAGTGTAAGAAAGACTTAGGTCCTTGCAATTGGAAGCTGGTGAAAATCATGCAAACCCGTTCAGAATTTGATGCGAATTGTGAAATACAAGCTTTCAAGGGAGTTTTTACTTATTACAACTTGCTCCTCAACAGAATGATAATCGAGGCATAAAAAAGCAAGCATCAGATGAGAATTTAAAGCAGCAAAGATCTAGTTATGTTATAATACCTTCTATTCTTAATATAAGAGTTCGTTTAGCTTTTATTTTAATTCTAAATATAAAGTCACAATCCATTTTGTCTCTCATATTTATTTATTTTTCTTTCAAAATAGTCTTTGTAATAATAATAGTTCTAACAAATACACTTAATTAGTAAGAATATTTTAATAAAAAAATATTTATTTATTACAAATAACTAGTATAACTAATTTTTTAATCTACTCAAATTAGTCAACTAACTCTTATATTAAGGATTGAAAATATTATTACATGAAAACAAAATGTAAACTGATATTAGTATACAAGGCAGAGAGCGTGTTTTTCCCCCTATTTTATCTTATTAAATTCATGTATGAATGTACAATTTCTTTTCTACTTCTTCATTTTTGTAAACTGTTATTTTCTTTAAAAAATTTAATTAAATATGAATAAAATAGAAAAGTTAATAATTTTTTTGTGAAAAAAAGTTAATAAATTTTATTTTATTTTGCTAGAGCATAGATACTGTCGAGCACTAAATGTGGACACTTCTCCTAACAGAGATTCGAATCTTGATTCATCACATTGTGATGATTAATTCTTTCTGCTAGACCCAGTCGCCGTTAGTTAAAAGTTAATAAATTTTAACACAAACGAATCAGCTCCCAAACCATTAAAAGCTTGGCCCAAATGAAAAAAGACATTAGCAGCCCAATCTGGACAAATAGTCCTTCCCAAGACACGGACACCATAGAGCCTGGTGCTTTATTAAAATAAATCCAAATCAACCTTTATCTGAAACAGCATCAAAACACCCATCCACGTTTAGCTTGAAAGCATTTTCAGCTTAAGAATCCAAAAATCAGAGACTGTTGCCACTTGCTAGTTAGCTGCAGTGATCACCCAAGAGAAAACATCAGGAATTGTACTTTTTTTTTTTTTTCGTTTTCTCTTATACCACTATGTTACTATTTATAAGTTACTTATATCTCAAGCTCATAAACTAAAAAATGCATTAAATTGATAATTTTTTCCACACTTGCCTTTATTAAAGAAAGGATATTAAAAATATGTTTTATATATTCTCACCTATTTACTTTATCTTTTTTCGCATTTATTAAGTTAACAAGGATAAATTTAAGAAGAGCTCATTAATTACACTACAAATGACTTATATTTAGAAGCAAATTTTTTCCTGTAAGTGACTTATAAATAAAAACCAAGTGGTACAATGAAAGTTTATATAACTTGGGTCTCGATGACTCACTAAGCCGGAACACTATAAAGGTACTTATAGATCACCTACTAATAAAATCTTCACATTAATAACGGGATTTGAACTCACAATCTTATAGGTTATAAATTAACTCAGCAATTATTTGATGGCGGGGGTAACCTTTGTGGCTGGGCATCAGGAATTATACTTATACTGTGTTCAAACATTTTATTGCCGCTTATCTTTCAAACATGCCAACAAGGTAAAGCAACTAACTAAAGCTTGATTACAGTCATTGTTGTTTAGATTTAAAGAGTCATGTATAAAAATATCAGTGAACCATGCATGTCTCATCCGATCACACCAAAAGTAAGGATAACAAAACATTCCAAGGCAAACATCATTAAGACTGTTGCAAGGCCCCCAAAAAATAGGATAAGTATAAGGTGAGCTAGATAATTAATTTAAAAATATCAATAAAATAAGTTAAGTTAGTTAGTTGTAACAAATATACGTTTGATTTTCCTAAATTACTTTCCTTAATCATATGCATTAGAATTATTCTTGATAGAAACTCCTTACAATCAATAATGATATTTTGAAAGAAAAATTATAAATTTGGAATTTCATATTTAAACAATTTAAAAAGTAGCAAGAAAATATTTTTTTTGGCTGGAAAAATAAAAAAAGAAAATATATTTTTTAATGAAACAAATTTCGTAGACAGTGTTTTTTTTTTTTTTTCCCGGTTGGGGCATGCACGGATGCACAAATGGTAAACTGGTGTTCCTTGCAGGCGAAGGATCATCCCGCGGGATGACTTGCAGAAGAAATTTGAAGTCAAGTCAATGGATAGATCAAACGCACTTATTGCAAGCTCCATGTCACTGCGCATTTTCCACCGAAAGCGAGTCGGAAAGCAAGCTAAAGCAAACTGTTTCAAACCGTTCGTACAAGACTGGGACCTTTTAATTGTTTTCCCCCATGGAAAAAACAACAGAAAAGCTAGTCCCTAGGAAGCTGCTTCTTCCTTTCCTTTCTCTTTTTCCATTTTCCCAGCACTATTAATCACAACCGCCTTTGGACTGAGTTCATTAGTTCCATTTGTGAGATCAGAATTTCCCATATCAGATTTCTCGCTTGTGACTGAACTATGGCTTCCGTGCAAGGCCCATCATCATCTCATTTGAGACTTTTCGTAGATAGACAAAGCAACAAAGTGGTTGTGGCCGAAGCAAGTGGAGATTTCATTGACGCTCTCCTCAGTTTCTTAACGCTTCCATTGGGAACCATCATTCGCCTTCTGTCCAACAAGCAAACCCATCGATCATCAGCATATGTTGGCTGCATCAACAACCTCTACCAAAGTGTCCAAAATTTCGACACGGAGGTACGTGCAATAATAACACTACGGTTGAATGTCCGATTTTATAGAAGAATACAAATTTAATGAATGAAGCAAGATTTGTGTATGAACAGGTTTTTTGGAATGGAATCTGCAAGAAAATGTTGCTATGTCCACGTAATCCGTGCGAGAAGCTTTGCCAGAAACTAAGATTCAATGTGGACGATACGGAGCCCACTAAGTATTTGATGTGTGGTTCCTGTAGACAGGGTAGTGATAAATGGCTAAGTACTTTTTCAGGAGTGGGTTGCTCATGTGGGAAACTGATGGACCAAGGGACGAAAGTGGTGGAGGAGGAAGATAATAATCCCAAAGGAGGTGTTTTTGTTAGAGGCGAGAGTATGTATTTGATCTTTGATGATCTAACGGTTCTTCAGAATTCTGCATGTAACACTATTCACCAACTTGTCCAACTCGGCTACAGTGACTTCACCAAGCTCACTGAAATCTCCCCAACCGTCGGCTTAAACCAGGTAACTATGTCGCAATCACTGTGTTTGTATTAATGAAGAGATTACATTATTACTCTTATTTAAGGAACACGCATAACTGTGCAGTTGGGTTAAATGCTCGTTAGCAAAGTGTTACTGCTCAACGTGGTCCTGCCCTGCTCAACTCAAATTTAATGTGACTTTGATACTGATTGGTTTGACATCAAAATAGAGATAAAATTTTAATTATGTAATCGAAATACTCTGCATCTAGTAAACAAACGTAACAAATAAATCTTATAAATGTGTGTGTTTGTTTGGGTATAGATATAGATAGATAAAATGACTTGGTTGAACTTGATGATCGATGTACTTATACATAAACTTGTGTGTATTTTAGATTATTGAGTTGTTGAGGCGTGCCTTGGTCTCCACATCACCTCTTACTGACGTATTCTTGACTCCAGAAGCTGCTAGATCCAAGCCTATGTCCTCTTTCACGCCTAGACCAGCTTCACAAAATGTGAAGAAGACTCAGTCTTCATGTAATCTCAAGATAACAGTGAGCAAGTCAAAGAACAAGATCCTGTTTGCTGAGGCTGACGAAGATTTCGCTGATTTTCTATTCGGCTTCCTCACCATGCCTCTTGGATCTACTCTCAAACTTTTAGATGGCAATGTCAATTTGGGATCTATGCATGGTCTATATAAAAGTGTCAAGGCTCTGAATCCTTCATGGTTTGGACGTTATCGCTATCCACACTCTCCGTTCTCTCCATTATTGGATCTGAAGGTGGCTTCTCAATATGGCTTTAAAAAGCAGATATTGGACGTCCATGAAGAAAGCCCTTGTTACTATTATGTAAACAATCGAGTGATTTCGAAACACAAGGAAAAGATACAACCTGCATCAAGAATGGAACTTTTTGACCCAAGATGTGCTGATGGAAGGAAAGAAGCGGTGGGATTTGTGAGGAGGCCAGCACTTTTAGCCGTGATGGATGATCTTCAAGTCACGGCATTGACGTCTACTTCGAGCATTTCGTTTCTGCAGAAATTGAAGGTCCCTCTAAACGATTTGGAAGAGCACAAGGTGACAATTCACAAGACTGAGGTATGCACTCTTTGACCGATTTATTGAAAGACTGGTTTATTTGGTAAATTAAACACTGGTTCATGACTGTGATATTTGACATGACTCAGGCACTGAATCTGTTGGGAGCATCATTGACATCCAAAGCTGCATTGACGAATGGGCTTTTCTACCTGGTGAAGAAGCAGAAGGAAGAACCCACAATCTGAACGCTTTGTAGCTGGTTAAAGCTAAGAGAAGAGGCATACTAGAAATTCTGAAATATATTATATGTTCATGTTTAAATCCGTGCCAGTGTTTGTAAACTTAAATAAGTGAAAAGAATTTGGTTACTGTCTGTTTGGCTGGGCGTTCAAAAGCCAATAAGTAACTTATTGCCTACCATAAGCCTGATTAAAAATTAAGAGTATGTTTGTTTAAGGTATTGGGCTATCTTAGTTATGCCCAAAAGTTGCCCTCAATCCCACGATTTGTATAAGCCAACATAGGTAGTTTTTCCTCTGCCCTCACCGTGCTTCTCCTGTGCCCTCAAATAACCATGCCAGAAACTCTCAATTTTTCTCTCTCTCTCCCTTGCATTATTTTTATTCTCTTTTTCTCATGCTCTCAAGATTCAGATTCGAAAGGCTCTCATCTACTCTCCTCCGCACCTAATATTATATTACTCATCCGGCCTTAAATATAAGATCTTTTTTGTAGTGTGAATTACACTACAAAAGGGGTAGTGTTATTTTTATTCTCTTCCTATCATGAATTTAAATTTAAAAATATTTTATCCATTAAAATTATGTTTCACTTTATAATCCCAATAATTTTTTATGATATCTCTAATATTTTAAAATATATTTCAGTTACTAAATTTTATTTCTTCATATTAAAATAACTTAAATTCATTATATTATGTAATTTTTTTTTATGATGTTTCACTTTTTATTTAAAATATTTTTTATAACTCATTGAATTTGACTTCTTCATATTAAATTATTTTAATTTTATTGTATTATGTGAATAGATTTTTTTAATCATATTTTATTGTTTATTAAAACTCATATCCATTTTGGTCATTTTATAACTAAACTTATTTTTACTCAACTATAATCCAAACAATCTTTTACCAATCTCACTTTTGCAAACTAACTTTTATGAACTCTAATTCAAATACAATTTAGCTTATCCAATTTAGTTTTTACCCAACTTCACTTTTTCATAAGTCAAATTGACAATAAGTTACTTTTCCAATCGCTTATCCAAGCGAATCTTCAAAGGTAACATCATCCGTTAAGCAATTTATAACCCAAAATTCGCTTTACCAAAAGGTTTACTCTGCAAAAATTCACTCGAACCTTGGCAACAGAGGCTTGAATAACCGGATAGAAATGCCCTGTTCTCATGACATGCGAAGTTGATACGAGTACTTATTTTTCTTCTGACGATTACAAACCATTGTTCTGCTAGGACCTTAATTTCTAACAGAAAATTGCAAGAATCTTGTTCTGGGTAGAAACGACCTGACTTCAAGAGAATTGTTACTTATTACAGCTTGCTCCGCAAAACTAGGAAAGGGAAACCATCATACCGCGCATTTCTTAATGGTTGGATTGATTAAACTTGCCTGCAACATTTTTCAAAATTTTAATTATGCACATATATTCTTTTGGCTAGAACTTTGCTTGCATATGATATATTTGAATATCATAGTATATTTTTGTTTCTATTTCAAAGAACGACATACGTGGATACGAAACTTCTTAACCCAATATCTCCTGTTGGAATAACAGATTCTGCTGCAGGATTTTGTGAGGTGAACGACACCAACTGTTTTGGTGAAGGTTCTTGTAAACCTGAAGGTTCTACTTGACGATGAATAGCATGTCTTGAGCATTGCTTGGGGAAGATGGAACGAACAATATAATCATGTCATAATCTTACATAAAATATCAAAAAAAATATGAAGAGCCATCAAATAATTACAACCATTATTCATTATTAACTAATTGCACATTTGTTCAAGATTATATATTTGAATTAAAAACCAATGTACCTTTTGATATTCTTTACAATTATCCGTTTAATGAATATGATATCATTAGATAGATTCATGAATGTGGAAAGAAAGAGGAAAGTTGTCTAACTAATTGATTCAGGAAGGAGCTTATTCGTTTCCTTTCTCTTTTCCTATTTTGCCAGCACTATTAAATACGACCGCCTTTGGACTGAGCTCATTAGTTCCATTTGTGAGATCAGAATTTCCCGTATCAGATTTCTCGCTTGTGACTGAACTATGGCTTCCGTGCAAGGCCCATCATCATCATCTCATTTGAGACTTTTCGTAGACAGACAAAGAAACAAAGTGGTTGTGGCCGAAGCAAGTGGAGATTTCATTGACGCTCTCCTCAGTTTCTTAACGCTTCCATTGGGAACCATCATTCGCCTTCTGTCCAACAAGCAATCCCATCGATCATCAGCAGAGGTTGGCTGCATCAACAACCTCTACCAAAGTGTCCAAAATTTCAGCACAGATGTACGTGCAACAATAACATTACGATTGAATGTCCGACTTTATAAAAGAATACAAATTTAATAAATGACTTCACCAAGCTCACTGAAATCTCTCCAAACGTCGGCTTAAACCAGGTAACTATGTCGCCTTCACTGTGTTTATATTAATGAAGAGATTATATTATTACTCTTATTTAAGGAACACGCATAGCTGCGCAGTTGGGTTAAATGCTCGTTAGCAAAGTGTTACTGCTCAACGTGGGCCTGCCTTGCTCAACTCAAATTCAATGTGACTTTGATACTGATTGGTTTGACATCAAATAGAGATAAAATTTTAATATGTAATTGAAAGACTCTACGTTTAGTAAACAAACGTAATAAATAAATCTTATAAATGTGTACGTGTGTTTGTTTGTGTATAGATATAGAGAGATAAAATAACTTGGTTGAACTTGATGATCGATGTACTTATAAACCTGTGTGTGTTTTAGATTATGGAGTTGTTGAAGCGTGCCTTGGTCTCCACATCTCCTCTTTCACGCCTAGACTAGCTTCAGAAAATGTGAACAACACTCAGTCTTAATATAATCTCAAGATAACAGTGAGCAAGTCAAAGAACAAGATCATGTTTGCTGAGGCTGAGGAAGATTTCGCTGATTTTCTATTCAGCTTCCTCACCATGCCTCTTGGATCTACTCTCAAACTTTTAGATGGCAATGTCGATCTGGGATCTATGCATAATCTGTATAAAAGTGTCAAGGGTCTGAATCCTTCATGGTTTGGACGTTATCGCTATCCACACTCTCCGCTCTCTCCATTATTGGATCTGAAGGTGGCTTCTCAATATGGCTTTAAAAAGCAGATATTGGACGTCCATGAAGAAGAAAGCCCTTGTTACTATTATGGTATTGATCTAGAAAACATGGATTATGTAAACAATCGAGTGATTTCGAAACACAGGGAAAAGATACACCCTGCATCAAGAATGGAACTTTTTGACCCAAGATGTGCTGATGGAAGGAAAGAAGCTGTGGGATTTGTGAGGAGGCCAGCACTTTTTAGCCGTGATGGATGATCTTCAAGTCACGGCATTGACGTCTACTTCGAGCATTTCGTTTCTGCAGAAATTGAAGGTCACTCTAAACGATTTGGAAGAGCACAAGGTGACAATTCACAAGACTGAGGTATGCACTCTTTGACCGATTTATTGGAAGACTGGTTTATTTGGTAAATCAAAAACTGGTTCATGACTGTGATATTTGACATGACTCAGGCACTGAATCTGTTGGGAGCATCATTGACATCCAAAGCTGCATTGACGAATGGGCTTTTCTACCTGGTGAAGAAGCAGAAGGAAGAAGCCACCATCTGAACGCTTTGTAGCTGGTTAAACCTAAGAGAAGAGGCATACTTATCTTCTATAAGACCTGAGTGTAATTTTTTCATTTTAAAAACACAGGAAGTGGACTAGTGGGTTGCTTCAGGCTCACCTAACATTCTCATTTCTGAACCTTGTAAGTCATACCCTTCACGTGAGTGTGACAGCCTGGCCGCATTTTTGTAAGGTAATTATATTCGAGGTACTATCAGGTACTAAATATAGGCACTTCTCCCAATAAAAATTCGAAATATACGCACCATACTTGATGGCGTGAGAGTTTGATTGATTACTTGATGCATTAACTATTTTATTCGCACAAAGATGTTACCATCCATTGTATCAAATACACATAATTTAGTAAGAATATTTAAATAAAATAATTATTATTCTTTTAGTTTTATTTATAAGATAGAAAGAAAAAATATTTTTTGATCCTATTTATGAAGCACTAAGAGAAATTTTTTTTTATGAATGTATAATTTTACATTTTATTTATTATTATGTTAACTTTATTTACACGAGGAATAATATATATTACCTCCGATCCTAATTATAAGATCTCGTTTGTAGACTACTCCTTCCGTTCCTTATTATAAGATTCTTTTGACTAAATTACATGGTTTAAGAAAACAGTTAAAATTAGTTAAAAGTAATTAATATGTAGTAAATGTTATTTTTTTCCCAAATATACTCTTATATAAAAATAGATAAATATAATAGAGTAATAATAAGATAAATGAAGAAAAAAATGTATTAAATACATTAAATTAGGAGTAAAATAGATAATAATATATTAAATACTCAGATAAACTCAAAAAAAAATCTTATAAAAAAAAACAAATCTATTTAAAAAAAAAATTTCATAAGCAACAGAAAAGCTAGTCCCCAGGAAGGCGGCAAAGGGTCTCTCCATTTCCCATAGCGTCCATTTCGCTCCACTTCCCTCAAACGACATCGTTCTTTGCTTGTCACTTACAGCCTGCACTTGGGAAAAATAACACAGCATCCTCCTCACTCTAAACACAGTCCCTCTCTCTCCCCTCCTTCCTCCCCGCCACGCAAATGCAGACAGAGAACAAATAAAAAAACAAAAACAGTTGGGCATGGTGTCCGATTCTGCAGAATATCAGCAGGGAACCAGTTAGGGACTCCAACTGAATTTGATGTACTTGGGATGTTCTATCTTGACTTGACTTAAAATCCACAAGAAAGCACATCTCAAGTCTTCAATGTACACCACAATCTACCTTCTCTCTTGTCCAATGTACACCACAATATACTTGATGTCCAATGTACACCACAATCTACCTTCTCTCTTGTCTTTGTAGGATTAAACATTAAAATCACCCAACCCTCCATGCTATATATAGACTACGATGGAGGGGATCTGAGGAAATTCCTCTTCTTGTCTCAGCTTGCAGTGAGAACCGGGCTGTTTTGCTTTTTCTTTTGAGTTGTTTGGAAAAAGTTTCTATTTGCACTTCAGTGGCTGAATGCTTGTGTGTTTCTGTGAGACGGTTGCGTGTTTACAGTCAGAGAGAAGGACGGTGTTTTTTCGCCAAGTGCGGACGTCAAGAGAACGACGTCGTTTGAGGGAAGTGGAGCGAAATGGACCCTATAGGAAATGGACAGACCCTTGGCCGCCAGGAAGCTGCTTCTTCCTTTCGTTTCTCTTTTTCCTTTTTGCCAGCATTATTAAATACGACAGCCTTCGGACTGAGCTCATTAGTTCCATTTGTGAGGTCAGAATTTCCCCGATCAGATTGCTCGCTCGTGACTGAACTATGGCTCCCGTGCAAGCCCCATCATCATCTCGTTTGAGACTTTTCGTAGACAAAAAGAAAAACAAAGTGGTTGTGGCCGAAGCAAGTGCAGACTTCATTGACGCTCTCCTCAGTTTCTTAACGCTTCCACTGGGAACCATCATTCGCCTTCTGTCCAACAAGCAAACCCGTCGATCATCAGCAGAGGTTGGTTGCATCAACAACCTCTACCAAAGTGTCCAAAATTTCGACACAGAGGTACGTGCAATAATAACATTACGATTGAATGTCCGATTTTATAAGAGAAAACAAATTTAATGAATGAAGCAAGATTTGTGTATGAATAGGTTTTTTGGAATGGAATCTGCAAGAAAATGTTGCTATGTCCACGTAATCCGTGCGAGAAGCTTTGCCAGAAACTAAGATTCAATGTGGACGATACGGAGCCCACTAAGTATTTGATGTGTGGTTCCTGTAGACAGGGTAGTGATAAATGGCTAAGTACTTTTTCAGGAGCGAGGTGCTCATGTGGGAAACTGATGGAGCAAGAGACGAAAGTGGTGGGGGAGGAAGATAATAATCCCAAAGGAGGTGTTTTTGTTAGAGGCGAGAGTATGTATTTAATCTTTGATGATCTAACGGTTCTTCAGAATTCTGCATGTAACGCTATTCACCAACTTCGCAAACTCGGCTACACTGACCTCACCAAGCTCACTGAAATCTCGCCAGAAATCTGCTTAAAGCAGGTAACTATGTCGCCTTCAGTGTGTTTGTATTAATGAATGGATTAAATTGTTACTCTTATTTAAGGAACACGCATAGCTGCGCAGTTGGGTTAAATGCTCGACAGTAAAGTGTTACTGCTCAACGTGGTCCTGCCCTGCTCAACTCAAATCCAATGTGACTTCGATACTGATTGGTTTGACATCAAAATAGAGATAAAATTTTAATTATGTAATTGAAAAACTCTACATATAGTATACAAACGTAATAAATAAATCTTATAAATGTGTGTGTTTGTCTGTGGATAGATATAGATGGATAAAATAACTTGGTTGAACTTGATGATTGATGTACTAATAGATAAACCTGTGTGTTTTAGATTATGAAGTTGTTGAAGCGTGCCTTGGTCTCCACATCTCCTCTTACTGACGTATTCGTGGCTAAAGAAGCTGGTGGATCCAAACCAGTGTCCTCTTTCACGCCTAGACCAGCTTCACAAAATGTGAAGAAGACTCGGTCTTCATGTAATCTGAAGATAATGGTGAGCAAGTCAAAGAACAAGATCCTGTTTGCTGAGGCTGAGGAAGTTTTCGCTGATTTTCTATTCAGCTTCCTCACCATGCCTCTTGGATCTACTCTCAAACTTTTAGACGGCAATGTCAATCTGGGATCTATGCATAATCTGTATAAAAGTGTCAAGGATCTGGATCCGTTCTCTCCATTATTGGATCTGAAGGTGGCTTCTCAATATGGCTGTAAAAAGCAGAGATTAGATGTCCATGAAGAAGAAAGCCCTTGTTACTATTATGGCATAGGTATTGGTCGAAATAACGCAACCTATGGAAGCCATAATGAAGTGATTTCAAATGACCGGGGAAAGATAAAGAATGCATCAAAAGTGGAACTTTTTGACCCAAGATGTGCTGATGGAAGGAAAGAAGCTGTGGGATTTGTGAGGAGACCAGCACTTTTAGCCGTGACGGATGATCTTCAGCTCAAGTCATTGGCGTCTACTTCAAGCATTTCCTTTCTGCAGAAATTGAAGGTCCCTCTGAACGATTTGGAACAGCATGAGGTGACAATTCACAAGACTGAGGTATTTGCTCTTTGACCGATTTATTGAAAGACTGGTTTATTTGGTAAATTAAACACTGGTTCATGACTGTGATATTTGACATGACTCAGGCACTGAATCTGTTGGGAGCATCATTGACATCCAAAGCTGCATTGACGAATGGGCTTTTCTACCTGGTGAAGAAGCAGAAGGAAGAACCCACAATCTGAACGCTTTGTAGTTGGTTAAAGCTAAGAGAAGAGGCATACTAGAAATTCTGAAATATATGATATGTTCATGTTTAAATCCGTGCCAGTGTTTGTAAACTTAAATAAGTGAAAAGAATTTGGTTACTGTCTGTTTGGCTGGGCGTTCAAAAGCCAATAAGTAACTTATAGCCTACCATAAGCCTGATTAAAAATTAAGAGTATGTTTGTTTAAGTTATTGGGCTATCTTAGTTATGCCCAAAAGTTGCCCTCAATCCCACGATTTGTATAAGCCAACATAGGTAGTTTTTCCTCTGCCCTCACCGTGCTTCTCCTGTGCCCTCAAATAACCATGTCAGAAACTCTCAATTTTTCTCTCTCTCTCCCTTGCATTATTTTTATTCTCTTTTTCTCATGCTCTCAAGATTCAGATTCGAAAGGCTCTCATCTCCTCTCCTCCATCTAATATTTTATTACTCTTTTGGTCCTAAATATATAGGACCCCTTTTCTAGTGTAATTTACACTACAAAAAGGATTTTATATTTAGAACTGGAGTAGTATTATTTTTATTCTCTTTCTATCATGAATTTAAATTTAAAATATTTTATCCATTAAAATCATGTTTCATTTTATAATCCCAATAATTTTTTATGATATCTCTGATATTTTAAAAATATTTCAGCCGCTAAATTTATTTCTTCGTATTAAAATCACTTAAAGTCATTTTATTATGTAAATTTATTTTTTTATGATGTTTCACTTTATATTTAAAATATTTTTTATAACTCATTAAATTTGACTTCTTTATATTAAATTATTTTAATTTTATTGTATTATGTGAATAGATTTGTTTTAATCATGTTTCATTGTTTATTAAAACCCATACCCATTTTGGTCATTTTACAACTAAACTTACTTTTACTCAACCATAATTCAAACAATTTTTTATCAATCTCACTTTTACAAATTAACTTTTCTGAACTCTAATCTAAATACAATTCAGCTTATCTAATTTGGTCTTTATCCAACTTCACTTCTCTACAAGCTAAATTGACAATAAACTACTTTTTTAATCACTGATCCAAGCGGACCCTTAGAGGTAACATTATCAACTAAGCAATTTATAACCCAAAATTCGCTTTATCAAAAGGTTTACTTCGCAAAAATTCACTCCAACCTTGGTAACAGGGGCTTGAATAACCGGATAGAAATGCCCTGTTTTTATGACATGCGAAGTTGATACTATTTATTTTTCTTCTGACGATTACAAACCATTGTTCTGCTAGGACCTTAATTTCTAACAGAAAATTGCAAGAATCTTTTTCTGGGTAGAAACGACCTGACTTCAAGAGAATTGTTACTTATTACTGCTTGCTCCACAAAACTAGGAAAGGGAAACCATCATACCGCGCATTTCTTAATGGTTGGATTGATTAAACTTAACGGCAACATTTTTCAAAATTTTGACTATGCACATATATTCTTTTGGCTAGAACTATGCTTGCATATGATATATATTGGATATCATAATACATTTTTGTTTCTATTTCAAAGAACGACATACATGGATACGAAACTTCTTAACCCAATATCTCCTGTTGGAATAACAGATTCTGCTGCAGGATTTTGTGAGGTGAACGACGCCAACTGTTTTGGTGAAGGTTCTTGTAAACCTGAAGGCTCTACTTGACGATGAATAGCATGTCTTGAGCATTGCTTGGGGAAGATGGAACGAACAATATAATCATATCATAATCTTACATAAAAATATCAAAAAAATATGAAGAGCCATCAGATAATTACAACCGTTATTAATTATTAACTAATTGCACATTTGTTCAAGATTATATATTTGAATTAAAAACCAATGTACCTTTTGATATTCTTTACAATTATCCGTTTAATGAATATGATATCATTAGGTAGATTCATGAATGTGGAAAGAAAGAGGAAAGTTGTCTAACTAATTGATTCAGGAAGGTGCTTATTCGTTTCCTTTCTCTTTTCCCATTTTTCCCTGCACTACTAATCACAACCCCTTTTGGACTCAGTTCATCATTACTTCCATTATTGTGAGATCAGGTAGCTTGTGACTGAACTATGGCTTCCCCTTTCAGACTTTTCGTGGAGAAAGAAACAAAGTGGCAGTGGGCGAAGCAAGTGGAGATTTCATTGGCGCTGCCCTCTATTTCTTAACCCTTCCTTTGGGAACAACCATTCGCCTTCTTTCCAACAAGCAAACCCATCGATCCGCAGAGCTTGGTTGCATCAACAACCTCTACCGAAGTGTCCAAAATTTCAACACAGAGGCACGTGCAATAATAACATTACGATTGAATGTCCGATTTTATAGAAGAATTCCAATTTAATGAACGAAGCAAGATTTGCGTATGAATAGGTTTTTTGGTATGGAATCGGCAAGAAAATGTTGCTATGTCCACGTAATTCGTGCGAGAAGCGTTGCAAGAAACTGAGATTCAACGTGGATATATGACACAGAGCCCACCATGTATTAGATGTCTGTGAAAATGAAAGCCCTTGTTACTACTACTGTTATGGCTATTTAAACATTAATGGAGTGATTTCGACTAGCGTGAAACTTGTTTCTGCAGAAATTGAAGGTTTCTCTGATGATATGGAAGAGCATAAGGTGACAATTCACGAAACTGAGGTAAAAGTCCATTCTTGACCTATTTCTGAAAAGACTTGATTTATTGGGCAGATAAAGAAAATGGAGAAGTATAAGAATTTTCATGACTGCGACATGAATTATTTGAAATGACTCAGGCACTGAATCTGTTGGGAGCGTGATATGACCACTCACGTATATTTATAACCAGTCTTGCAATTATAATACAAAAAGATGAAGAAGAACCAGATGCATTACAGATAAGATGAAAAGTTCCGTTACGGAACTAGTTTCGGTACTCATCACTTTGATGAGCATCATAAGCTCATCAAATTTAAGCCATCTATATCTTATTTAGATGGTCCAAATTTAACTTCTTTAATTAATTATTTTTAAATAGAAAAAATTATTTTTTGAAAGAATGATAGTTAAAATATTATCACTATTTTAGATTATATACATATTAAAATAACTGTTTTGAATAAATAAACGATCCAAATTTGATGAGCTTATAGTACTCATCAAAATAATGAGCATTGAAATTGGTTCCGCTGCAAAAGCTACATGAAGGGAGTAGAACAAGAGAAACTCCATAGTCACAAGGACAATGGCCAGAGGGAAGAGAGGAGAACGACAAAGAAGAATCACTACAATAATCTTCACACCCTCCAAACTAGAGCTGGGAATGCAGGCTGGCGGTGCAGATACGGGCCAGCCCGTAGCGGTGCGGGCCAAAAACGGTGCAGGCTGAAGTAGCCTGCACTTTGGCTGGCCCGCCTAACTTTTTTTAAAAAAAAATATTATTATTTGTATAGGTTTGAGCTTAGTTTAAATATTAAAATTGGATTTGGAATTTTAAACTTGAGTAATGAGTTGTAATAAATAATGTGAGGATTAATTTATAATTTGAGAAGATATTTTAGAAAAACTAACACATATTTTTTTCTAAATAATTAATTTGACTATTTTTTTATCCAAATTAATTAAGTAGATCTTTTATGTATATATTACATATGCAATTACTGAATGAAAAGATGTAAATATAAAATTTGGGGGTTAAAATCCTCCAATTATATTGTATAATATATTAGAAATTATATAAAATAAAAAAAAAAAAAAATATAAAAAAAAAGCGGGCTAGCCCGCCGGTGCGGGCTGGAATAGCCTGCACCTTGGCAGGTTGGCAAAATGCCACCCGAGCCCGCGGTCCAGCCCGTATTACCAACTCTACTCCAAACCCCACCTTGCCACGTCTCCACTCCTTTCATCTAAGCCCAAATCAATAAGCCCGTTAACTCATGCCCAATAGTCACTTCTTCTGGCCCATTCTATGCTATCTCAAGATCCCAAACCATATTATTCTTAGATCCAATTACAGAGCATCATTGACGAATGGGCTTTTCTACATGTTGAAGAAGCCGAAGGAAGAAGCCACAACCGGAGCATCTTATGTCTGCTTAAAGCTAAGGGTTTGTTTGGCTCAATGAAAGGAAAGGAAGGGGAAAAATTTTAATAGAGGAAAGGGGAGGGGAGGAGAGCGAAAAGATTTTAATATTACCTTGTTTGGATTTATTAAAAAAGAGGGGAGGGGAGGAGTTTTAATATTACCTTGTTTGATTCATGAGGAGAGGGGAGGAAAAAATATTTTAATATGGACAATTTCATCCTTATTTTATTTAATATATGGGCATAATAGTCATCACATGATAAAATATGGGCATAATGGTCACAACATGACAAAATATTATCCTTTTCCATCCAAATCCTCCTAATTTTGGAGGGGGGGTTGAGGAGGGGAGGGGAGGGAAAATTTTAAACCCCTCCTAAAATTTGTGTGTTGCCAAACAAGGGAAAATGATTAAAATCCTTTCCCTTCAAACCCCTCATACCAAACACACCCTCGGAGAAGGGGCATACTAGAAATTCTGAAACATCTGTAGAAGTTTAAATCTGTGCCAGTTTTTGTAATACTTAATGAGTGAAAAAGAATTTGAAAGTTAACATGATCAGCTAAGCAACTTATGACCCACAATTTGCTTTACCAAAATTGGCTACAGGGGCATGAATAATCGGATAGAAATGTCTATTTTTATGACAGATGAACTATTAAGGGTGTATTTGAGATCAAGTTTGGAGGCCCAAACTAACTTCCCAAATAACATAAGGAGCTTTTTGGATTTGGAATGCATTTGGAATATCGTTTTTACAATCTGACTTTTAAGAGTAAACGGCCTTTTAAGGAGAAGTTCACTCATTTTGCTTTTACCAGTGGGTTAGCATTAATGCTTCTCACCGACCCATCAAATATCCAAAATGTGAACTGAGATCAGTATAAAATGCAGAGAGAGTTTTTTCCCCTATTTTATCTTATTAAATTCATTATATGAATGTACAGTTTCCTTTCTACTTTATTATTTTTGTAAACTGTTATTTTCTTAAAAAATGTTAATTAAATATGAATAAAAGTGAAAAGTTAATAATTTTTTTGGTGAAAAAAAGTTAATAAATTGTTTTCTACAAAAAGTTGATAAATTTTAACACAAACGAATGAGCTCCCAAACCATTAAAAGCTTTGGCCCAAAAGAAAAAAAACATTAGCAGCCCAAGCTGGACATATAGTCCTGCCCAAGACAGGTACACCACAG